GAGTAAACGATGGCATAGTAGTCTTCAAACACAGACTCTGATTTGCCAGTTTGACAAAACAATTACGCATATATCGTGCGTAGCAATAGTACTAGTATTCAAGTCTGAGTAGTTGTATGATTCAGACATTTTAGTGCTTACAGAAATGCATCCCAAATTGAATAGCATGGTATAGTAGTCTGCAAGCACAGACGCTAATCGGACAGTTTGACAACATAGTGTCTTGAGTAGTGCTTTATATTCAAATATGTGTCGAATCAATTTTACAACTGAATATTTGTCTTGCTTTGTCTTTCCGTTCGTGCCCACAATCAAGATGATTGAATCATTTATTTCATCATGTGTGTTTGTTCTATCACGATTTTATTATTAATTTGACCATGGATTATACTGACAAAGGAGTTATTAGACCAAAGTTAGAAATATTATTACAGAATGACGGTTTTGAGAAGGCCAATAAATGACCTCATGGTGTGTGGGTTTGTTCAGAGCCAGAAGGGCATTCGTTGTGTTAAGAGTTAACATCCTTCTGGCTCTCAGCAGACCATGATTATAAATAAAAGTAATACAGAGAGTGCGAGCATACTGGAGGGAGGGCTAGAGAGAGAGAGAGAGAGAAAGAGAGAGAGATATGGAGAGAGAGAGAGAGAGAGAGAGAGAGAAAGAGTGTGAGAGAGCAGTGGCACAATACATAGGCCTACCATGGGGTCTGGAATCATTAAACTACACAAACTTGCATAAAATCACTACTCATCAATACACAATATATTATTATGTCCTTGCAGACTACTATACTACACTCTACACATTGAGATGCATTTCTAACGCACGCACCAGTAGGGTCTGAATCATACATCTACGCAGACTTGAATAAAGTACTTCTCAGCTCAGCACACTACTAGTATGTTGTCAAACTGTCAGATTAGCGTCTGTGCTTGCAGACTACTATACCATTCTATACAAGTTGGCGACTTGAATAAAGTACTTCTCAGCACACTACTAGTATGTTGTCAAACTGTCAGATTAGCGTCTGTGCTTGCAGACTACTATACCATTCTATACAAGTTGCAATGTATTTCCATATGCACTACTGGGTCTGAATCATACAACTACACAGACTTGAATAAGCACATCGCGACACATACGCATATTGATTTGTCAAACTGGCAAATCAGAGTCTGTGTTTGAAGACTACTATGCCATCGTTTACTCGTAGAACGCGAATCGTGCACAGTACATGCGAATACATGTACATTTCGTATGGGAAGTAGCAGAGAAATCATAAGTCCACGCGCATGCGCACATGGGATTTTTGCTCTCTCGAGTACGGAAAAAAAATTCGCGGCCGGTGTGGTAGGCGATTTGTTCCGGGTTCCGCGGAACAAATCGGCGCGCCGATTTGTTCCTCGGAACGAATCTACTGGATCGACTCGTTCGCAGATACGTTCGAAAGCCGCCGTTCTTATCCGACATTGGCCGAACGTTTCTGCTTATATAATCGCGTATATTTTTATTACTTGTGTCGAATAAACATGGTAAAAATAAATTTTAGCTTTATCTTGATACTTTTGTATTTATTGTTGGAATGAAAACCAATATTATTTAAAAAAAAATATTACTTAATAATAAGGTTTATAACCTCGTACGGAATTACCCGCGCGCGGTACGAAAAATAAATAAATAAATAACCTATTGACTAGTATATGCGCATAGAGTACATGTATATCATATGCATGCACGCACGTGCATACTCGGCACGGGGGGGGGGGGGGCAGGCGATAGTTTTCTGATATTAGGCCTACATGTACGTGAAATTAGTGGTTTCCAAACAAGGTGGCGCAACAGATCTGCCACTGTATGTAGCGGAATGGGGGGGGGGGGGGTATAGACACACTATGCTATGGCTCTGTTTAAACTAACTTTTGTCGGCTAGTACCAAGGGTTGAAAATTCAACAAAATATGTCGTGTTTTTCTTTTATTTCTTTTTTTTTTATTCTGCCGGACACGTCTTTACTTGAGGAATTTTCTTTCTCTTCTTTTCTTCTTTTTTTTATTAGGTGGTCTGTCAACGACAGATCACCTATTGATTTCGCTAGAATTTTCTTTATTCTTTCTTTCTTTATTTTTATTTCTTCCGTACACTTTTTTGTACACACGTTCACTCGAAATCGACATGGTCAATTTCCTTCAAATTTCTGTCAGTCATCAAGCCCTATGATTTCAAGTCAAATTAACTTTTTCAAGGTCATTAGGTCATCGTGACGTCATCCAGGCGCCATTTTGTAAAAGTCAGGTCATTATCATATCTCAATAACGAGTCATCAAAAATCAACCATATTTAATATACATCAACTTCAGGTCAAAGGTCAACTAAAAATGTCAACAAATTCCGCGCGCGCACCTCGACGCGCACGTACGCGCGTATCAAAATTTTAAAATGCTCCAATTCGTTTAAAAAAAAATTTGCACACGTTTCAGGCCATTTTAAGCATTTTGCAAAAAAACGCGCGCACGGACATGCGCGCGCGTTTTCGCGCGTAATTGCATCTTCCAACATAGAATCGCCAAATTTTTTCTGTCATCATATTTGGCACATTTTTCCAAGCATTTTGATACCTTGTTCACCTTTTTCTGACCATTAATAACGGAATGAGCGTCCGTTAAGATACGCATCCGTGCGTGCGAGCTCTTGTAATACATAACATACATGTGCCGAAACATGCCTATACAAAATTCATTGTAACTCTTCAGAATGGACAGATACCCCCAATTTTCTTTCATATTTCGATAGATTATGAGTCGGAGATATGATTTCATGTCTAATTTGTCCCTCAATTAACTCATGACGTCATCATAATGGCCTCCGAACTCAAAATTTCAATTTTCATATTATGACGTCAGCAGATTTTTGGAAAATTAATTGTATCTCTGCAAATGTTGATCAATTTTCTTTCAAATTTTGATATGTTCTACCTTAGAATATTCTCTACAAATGCAGTCGCCACGATATTTCATTTTGACAAAGGCATCATGGCGTATTTTTGCGATTAAAGGAGGCATGTCAATTTTTCACATTTTGCGTGTATTCTCTATGGGACATGACTTTTTCTCAAAACTGGATTCTACATTCTCGTCTTTCGCGAGCAATATCTCCGTCGTTTTATTTTTGTTAAGGCTGAGCTTTGAGTATGTTGTAGCTGAGACAATAAGCTATCACAAGTGTGCCCTTTATTTTTCGATCAGATGCCGGGATCATGCTCATATTTCACTTACAAAGTGGGATTAGAGAATTCCATTTTCCGTTTACGTGTAATCTCTATGTGAAATGTTTTGGTATATCGGTAACGCACTTGACTTCCGACCTCGAGGTCCCTGGTTCGAGTCCGGGCGTCTCCAACAATTTGTTTTCTTTACTTTTTTTTCTTTTTGACCTTTCACTGTACCATCTCCTTTGAATATTAAAACACGTAGAATCGCAAATAATGTAATAAACAACCATATTTACTTTATTATTACCCTATTATCACTTGATCCATTACTTTTTGCATGTAATCCTTATGGGAGATGACTTTTTCTCAAATCTGGATTCTACATTCTTGTCTTTTGCGAGCAATATCGCCGTTATTTCGGCTTGATTTTTGTTGATTTTTGAGTATGTTGTAGCTGAGACTATATACTATCTCAAAGTTCTCTCATTTTGTTCAGTCTGATGTCATCATGGTCTGTTGATGATGATCATCAACATCATCATGATCGTGATGATCATCATCATCGTCATCACCATTACTATCAAGATCATCATCATCATGATCATCATCATGATCATCATTGTTTACATGTCTATATAACTTGAAGGCAGACCACCTTATTCGTCCTCGTGACGAATTAAAATCTAGTTTTTATTGGTCCTTCTTAATTATCAGCTCGACCACTCATTTCTTTTTGTGTTGACCCCGCCCCCCCCCCCCCACCCCACCCCGCATCTCTTTCATTTAAACTACATGTACATCATTCATGCAGCCCACATGCATAATTAGATTCTGTGATGAAGCCCGGTAATAGGTGGTTGACGTAACACGATATCATATAAAGCAGCATTCAAACCAAATTAGAAGGCCTGATTAGAAAACACCCCGACATCTGCTTTTACAGGCAAACTAAGCCTATGGCAACAACTGCCCTTTTTGCTAGACCCGACCCAGTCCCCGTCGCTTCGCGACGGCGCTGTCTATAGTTACTGTTTCTGGTCAATCATTGGCCGCAATTATCAACATATTTGAACAACGGGAATCTGCATTTCTATACAAAGTTCTCAAATTGGCAATCGTTGGTGTAGCTAATTTGGAGAAGTTTGATTGGTTGCAAAGGCCGACCAGAATAGTTCATTTTGCTTTAGGGGTGTACCATGGCGTGTATTCAATAATACGTGAGCACGCACGCTCTCCGATGAGATTCGGAACGGATCGGCGGCTAAATATCCCGCCGATTGGTTCCACGGAATGAATCGCCTGGCCGGAACCGATCGCCTGTGACTAGCGGAACGAATCTACGAATCCGGAACAAATCGGCGGGTACATATCCAGGCGATCGGTTCCGGAGGAACCGATCGCCTGCACGGAACAAATCTCCTATGACACCGGCCCCGAACAGGGGGGAATAATAGTCAGTCACCTGACCGTGGCCCATGATCGACCGTCTTGAAAATATAGTCATGTGACCGGGAAGTTTATTTTCATAGATTTTTCCAAGGAATCATAAATTTTCTTTTGAAAAATGAACATACTTTTCTGCAATTTTGATATTTTGTTGTTGGATTAACATTGAAAGCATTCCTTGTTATCTTGAATAGTATATTTTAAAATGCTTTATCTGTACGGCAAAATGAATAACTATGTTAATCTGAAAAATGTAATTGTAATTTGTTAGTTTTAGACTGGCCGTAGCCCCGCCCCCTTAGATTGACCATAAATTGAAGAATTTGAACTTTACTCAGCTCAGCTCATAAATACGGTAAGTTAAGTCCATGTAGAAGCTATAGCTGACATTTGTCTACCGGGCGTTTCTGTAGAAAAAGTCTACTCAGCCAGTGGGAGGGTATATATTCACAAGACTGGTGTATATTCTACAGAAAGTTGCAGTTAATCAGCTGTAGGAGTCGAGTAGGAGCTCAACAAGACAGCTGACAGCTGACACTGACAGGTGAATGATTTAGTCCGAACTCCAACTTCCAAGTCTGATCTGATTCGCATGCGCTTGAGTTATTTAGATCTATTTATAACTAACTTGCTAGTCTATACATGTAGCCAGTGCAGATCTAGGTGTCTTTATAGATCTACAGGTGTTTTGTAGATGCCAGGGAAGCGTATAGGTACAGATTATTGTAATCAGATCTATAGAGATACGTTATTGTGGCTGTGCGCAGAACTGCGACAGTACTACTACAAAGGAGTTCAGATCGAGTTCAGTCGTGCCCATAGCATATTAATCCTTTTTTTCTACATTCATATAGGTCTATAGACTATACACAATCACAATGGTTATAATATTTTCCTTGCTACAAAGGTTTACATTTACAGGCAAGAGCAGAATTATCTTTCAAACTGCGGCAGAATACAGCAGCAGAATGGCAGCAGCATCACCAGAGATACAGAAGGACTTACTGGAGCTGATGAAGGATAAAACTCCAAGGGATGTCAGATTGGAGTTCCGCAAAGGAAAATATTTCATGGCTTCCACCTCTGGCCTCTGTAAAGGTATGCTTTAAAAAAAAGAGAACAGCACATACTTTTAAGTAATTGTGTGCATGCATCTCTGTAACAATTTCCTGCTAGCTAGGCCTATATGAGTTAAACTAATATGAAACTATAATTTTGTACATCATGAAATCTTATTTTAGATTTTTCAGCTACTTAGCTCAAGATATTGATGTTTATACTTTTAAACAAATTTAATCAACTAAATCACTGGCACAATTAATAGTCCACTCAGCTCAACCACATACAAATAACACAATTTTTGATGACAACTCCAAGTCGTACATGATGTGACGTCACAAATTCTGAACTGAGTGAAGTTGGCTTTTTCTGGTTTTACGGCAGCTAAAAAAGGGAGATTTTCTTTTGTCTTAATAGTATACTTCTTAATATGACATGTAAAAGATTTAAAATGATCATTCTGTGGACTTTACTCTTTCGAATGCATGGTATGTAATTTGTCTATATTTTTTCAAGCCTTTAAATAGTGTTCACCATTGATTAGGCTAATTCTTTCCAGCCCAATAGGTTAAGTGAATATTTTCTTTGTTTTTCCTTCAATTTTAGGATACAAACAAGCCAATCTGATGATTGTTCACAAAGATGTAGCAGCAGACTTGGAGGAATATTGTCGCTTGAACTACGGACCAATGGCTCTCATCTTTAACTCCAAACCGGGCCAGTTTAATGCTCCTGAACTCTCTTATGATTCAGATGTTAGGTAAGAAATGCAGCGGTGATACTGACCTCGCAATCTCAATCTTGCACCTTTTAAAGCTGAGCAGCAGAAAGATTGCACAATCGCAATTGGGTTTTGTATAGACATGTGTCAATCAAATATGATTATTTATGTCTGGGGACCGACCTGTCCCGCCACCATCTAAAAGACGTGACTCAGTTTCAAACCTGGGTCCGTCTGAGTCAGTTTATAGGCAAAGACAGAGAGCAGACCAAGTGAAAGTACCGCTAGACCAACTCGCATCTCCCTTCAAAATTAATCATTTAACTATAACCGAAAAATATCTAAAGTTGATATTGAACATTTTTATCTCGGTCAAACGTGTCACATCAGTTGTGTGAATGGTTGTGAATACAAGCAGATGCAATTTCACCGGGTGCCAGTAGAAAGAACTCCCCTTCCCACTTTATGGAAATGATTTGAACTGAGTCTAGGCTATGAAGACTATATATATCAACATCTCCAAAGCGGCAGGAAAGAAAGTAAATCATCTCACAAGGCCAAATTTTCATTGTTATTTTTGCTCACTCAGGTTTTGGTTTTCCATGGTTTTCGTGCTGCGTGTAATTCTTTATTACCATTTCAAAAATTACATAATATGTTCCGTTTGGTCATCAAATTTTCATCAACATTTCTCATTTCATTCATATTTCAAAACGTAGGACTGATCTGTCTGCATATTGTGTATTTATTGATGGGCAGTTCAAAGAAGAGGTTCCAGACCTTCTCAAATTTGGGGACGAGTTGAATGATTTCTGTTTCTTCTACCTGGGGTGCAGCTTCTCTTTTGACAAGGCTCTCCTCTTAGGAGGAGTGCCTCTCCGAAATCTGGAGAAGGGAATTACAAATGTGTCTTCCTATAAGGTAGTTTGGATATTTTGTAATTCAGCTTAAAGAGGAAGTCCACCCTGAAATAGGTTTTAATCAAAGCAGATAACGAGAGAAACAAATCAGGTATAGTTTTGGTGCAAAATTTGATGGAGGGTTATTAGAAGTTTAACTTGTGCTTGATGAAATACAAGTTGGCAACTCTACCCTTGTGAGCATATCTCCTGTTTTCTCTGTACTAAAAAGATAAATAAAGAATGATTGTAATGGTGAGAAATATCAGATTAAGCCTATTCAGGCTATTCTCCGGATATATTACTAGAAATATGTTTTTAATTACTGGGATCCCCTCTTCAAAAATATGGAAATTTATTGAATGCAAATTTTACAAAAATCAAACAGGAGAATTGCTGGCATGGTGACTCATATACTGGTAGTTGCCAATTTGCATCTGATTGATTACAAATGTACAAATTTAGAAATTTCATATTTCTTATCCATGTTCTATTTTACTCAAATTTTCACTGATCTGTCAACAACAAAAATCATCTACATCTATTAAAACCAATTTAATTCAGGGTTGATTTTCTCTGGAACTAAATCAACCACTGCTTTTTATTTGCATGCTGTGTCTCACTTTTAGGACTGATGTGGCAGCTTATAATGTATTTGTCAATGGAGAGTTCTCTGAAACGGTTCCGGACCTTCTGAAATTTGGGGACCAGCTGAACGATTTCTGCTTTTTCTACTTTGGATGCAGTTTTTCTTTTGATGAGGCCCTCCTTGCTGGGGGTATACCTCTCAGAAATCTGGAGCAGGAAAACACAAATGTTGCGATGTATAAGGTATTTTGAAGAGCAGACGAACTTCATGTTATAATCTTTCTGGTATATCGCTTGCATTAGAATATCTAAAAGTATTGTTGTACGGTAAACTAACTATTGTGAATGAGAACATTCACCTAAATTTGAGTTTACGTCATTGTACATATTGATATCTCCATTACCAAATAAAAACATGATATTCTTCATTCCTGTACATTTTTATTGTTAAAAGTTTTGAGTATGTGCGACCTTATACCTCAATGATTTTCTTCTTTACCCATCAGTCCAATGTACAGTGCCATGGATGCGGTTGTTTCCATGGTAACGAGGTGGTATCTATGAAGCCCATACCCAAGGAGTTGGTAGAGAGGAGTTTTCAGATTACTCATCCGATGGGAGATGTCCATGGAGCTCCCATGCACATTGGAGACCCTGGTAAGTTTGTATGCATACCGACGCCTCAAATCTGTTCCTAGTAAATAATATCATATATATATATATATATCAGTTTCGTGTAATTTAGAGTTAGGTAGCCCATATAGTGTAGTAAAACTAGCAATAACTTTAACCCCATCCCATACATATTGGAGATCATGGTTAGTTAGTTTTCTCTTATCCAAATCCAAAGATAATATCAGATTTTGCCAATAGCTTTTAGGGTTAATTTATCTGCTGTCCTAATAAAAATAATAATAATGCCGCATTTTGTTATTGTGTAAATTAGCTTAGCTTAGCTCTGTGTTATAAGATACTGGATTGAAAGACACCTGCTGTGGTTCACAGCATCAAGTCTGAACAAAGCTCAACTGCATGTAGCTCTATCCCATAGTGGGACTTATTAGACTTATGGGACTTATTTTAATAAAACAGAAAAGGTAAAAAATAGGAAGGTAAAAAGTTATTCTATCTTTTATGAGAAAGGAGAGCTGCCTCACTTGTTTGTTGGTGTGTACAGTTTATTCTAAGGCAAATCTGGTATGAAAATTCTGCAAAAAGAGCAGATCAAAGAAAGTTTTTTTTTTTAACCCAGACAAATGAAAGAAGGAATATCATTTTCCCTCGTTAATCTGAGAGTAATATCCTCAATACTTGATACTTTTTTGCTTCCAGGAGAAAAGGCATAATTAATTTCTTCACTCTTATTTTAGGAGCTTTTATTAGAACTTTTCTTGAATTTGATGCTGTTTTTAATTTTTCTTTTCCAGCTGTCATTGGCATTGATCTGGATAGGACTGACTATGGAGTAGCCACTAAATTCCATGAAGGAGATATCCCGGTATTTTGGCCATGTGGTGTCACTGGACTAGACACTCTCAAATCTGTTAGTAAGTCAGTTTCAATGAAACAGTTCCAAGCATTCCACCATGTTTCTCATTGATATATATGTATTTGTTTACTTTTTGTCTACTTATTATGACTGCAGTTCACATGGTTGACTTGGTAAGTTGCAGTTAAAATAGTAGTATAAATGGTTCTTCTACGCAAGTTATAGTTTAGTGCAATGATTATTGAGTACAAACTCACAAAAAATAATCTGTGTGTGTGAAGTTGCCTTATATTGCAAGAGTCCCAGTATCCAATGGTACCTCTTTGAAAATAATTGACCATCTTTGAAAAAATATTCCTGGCTCTTTAAAATAATATGTCAATCCTTTTTAAAATCAACAAACACCCTCATATTACCCCTTTTAAAAACTTACTAAATCAATGAATAAGTACCGGTAGTTTAAGTACAATAGACATTTGTAGAAATGAATTTTGTGGGATCTACAAAAAATTACCTTATATGTTGAAAAATTGTGCAATTTTGCCTGTAAATGGGACTGACAAAATTACCTTATTTCGATGAGAAGTTATTATGACAATGTTCTTTGTAATGAGTTTCCAATATACATCAAAGTAATTTTAAAGTTTGCTTTGATAATTATTGTAAAATTCATTTTTTCTTGTTACTCAAACTGCAGACATTAATGTTTTACAGCCACACTCCAAACTTCTTTTCCATTTTCCAGAATTGCCACTGGCTTTCACACACAGACCAGGCTGTATGCTGCTCACAGACACCCCCTCCACGAAACCTAACCCCAACCCAGCCCCAGAGGATCTCCCAAGGGTAGTCTGGCTTTCTGATACCCCACCCCTGGCGAGTGCCCTCTCTCAGGCTACCATGGATAAGATAAAGAAACTGGAAACTGCAGCAATTGAAGACATAGGTAAGGTCACTTCTTTAGGATGTTCTTCCCCTTCAAATCTAAGTACATAATTACTCTTAAGAAGAATTTTTGTATGCCTTTTTGTTTCGAGGCAAAGTAAAATAGTGCAGAATGCTCACAATAAATGAATACCTAACTTTCATGGTCAATAATGATCTCTGAGCATTTCACATTTCAGTGAATATTTACTATGAAATGTGCAATAAATATCCCTGCATAAGGCATTTTGTCTTACACTAGGAGATCACCCCTGCACTCTTCATCATAATTACCCAGTGCACTACATGAGCAAAGATATTAAAGATAACATGAGGAAATAAACTTTCCATTGATATACTTTTCTCAATTTGATTACAGGAAAGCGGCAAATTGGCCACCTTCTGGTTGAAGACGATATGCTGAAGTCGGCCCTGTCGCTCTCCCATGCCAAATCGGTTGCCATAACGACCGGCTTCCCGGTGAAGCTAGAGGGAGACAACATCTTTGAGACCGATGGACCTCCGGGTGCTATCGCCATGGCAACCATCCTCCAGGCCCTGGGTAAAGATGTGGTCCTGGTGGTGGATGATGATGGAGGACTTCTGGGATGGATGAGGAAACTGGTAGAGATGCTTGTGGAAAGAGGTTGGTTTGGGTTTAGTAGTTAATAATTGCATTTTTTTCAGGCACTTTTAAAATCTATGTTCAATTCATTGTAAATTCGAAGGAGAAGAAAACCTACTACTTGTATTTTATCACAGATTTCCTTGGAACTTTGCGGTATGTTTTACCTGCAATTTAGAATAGATCCATTTCGTCATACTCAAAATATAGGGGGTCAGAAAACTTTTTTAAATTGTCTCATTCATGCACCTCTAAGGTGATCGAGAATTTGGGTTAGGGTTTAGGTTGCGATTGAGATCTCTCTTATGGTTATGATTGGTTATGTTTAGTGTTGGTTTTAGGGTCTAGTTGGTGTTTCTAGGCATTTCGACTCGTAGCTATACTCCCGTCTTCTTCCTCATTCTGTATGCTTCTCTCTGTCCTGAATATAAATAATTCTCTATTAAATGACTATAGAAGTCATGTCGGTTAAATTTGTTTGTTCTTTCAGGAGTACTGTCCAAGGCCATCCCTTTGGAATGCTATCCTCCTGCTGGCCAGTCTGCTTCCAAAGAGAACGCTGTCTCTTTCTTGACCGGCCAAGACGGTCGCACTCCAAGGTTCGATCACCTGGTGGCGATAGAGCGAGCTGGGGTGGCTCAGGATGGAGGCTACCACTCAGCTACTGGGTTGGACAAGAGCGTCAAGATAGGAGGGATTGACGCCTTGTTTAATGCAGCAAGAGAAATGGATCGTGTATTTACAACAGGTGACTACCATTTACTAGCCGTTAATAATTTTAAATCAAATTTTGTTGTATTTGACAGCTGTCAGGAGCTGTGGATCACCCTGAACAACATATGCACCCTCCCAGCAATTTGCTCCAATTCTAATTTGTCTAGTATCCATCTCGTCCAATCCCATTTTATACTAAGCCATGCAGTCTGTCTTTTCTCCATCAAGTCTAATATCAGTTTCTTAATATGCTAGTGTTCAAATCATCATTTTGTCCAATATCCACCAAGTCTATATCTCATCTGGTCCATTGACTAATTGGGCTACTGCCTTGGTGGAAACAATCCCATAGCAGTCGGGATATTATTTACAAGTTGTGTGTGATGGTCACTTCATGCATTCCAGATTATGATTTGCAATGTATTTTAGAGACTCCAGTATCAAATTGATATTAATCAGGAGTATACAATCAATCATCATTGTATCAACTTTGTAATCTTTGTTTGTATCAGTCTCCCGACTTTTTTAACAAGGAATTTTGATTTAATAAACCGAAATGAATGAATGAATTATAGACCTATGTAGACTAATTATAAAGCATCGAACATTGAATACTAATTGAGTGAGTGCATGCATTTTTCTTTTAATTGTAGGAATCGGAGATGGTGGTAATGAGATAGGAATGGGCAAGGTGCGAGACAGGGTCGTGACCCACATCCCAAAGGGTGACATCGTTGCCTGCATCACCTCAACGGATTACCTCGTCTGTGCTGGAGTGAGTAACTGGGGTGGCTACGCCCTTGCCGTCGCCCTCGCTCTCCTGAGACTGTGCCCCATCCATGACCGCTATCGTCGTCGAGCCGTCGGGCTGCCCCCAACCGAGGAAGAAATCCAGAGCATCATGGCTGCCATACCAAGAGTCGACAAGGTTTGATATAAAGAATTATTAATTGACTCATTGATACCATGTAGGTGACATCTAATTTCATACTAGCCTTGCTTTAGAAGAGGAAAGATATGCACTCAATGAGCTAAACAAAAGTGAAGCATATGCTTTTTATAAAGTTGATTATTCCAGTAACAAAATATGAGTGATATGTTATTAGCAACGTTACTGAAAAGATTTAAATGATTTAATGGAATATACATATGAAATTTACTGAATGACATCTGCTGAACATGAGTATGATATGCAATTGAATGGCATCGGCTAATTAACAAGACTCACATTTGGTTTGTTTATTTTTATCAGGAGGGGAAGGTTCTTGAGGCTATGGTGGAGCTAGGTTTCATGGACGCTACGGGGGAAGTCAAGATGGCTGTCGATTGGTTACCGTTTTATGATGTCCATGCTAACAAGATCAAGGAAATTTTGGGTGACTGGTCTTAAATTTGATAGGGATGCAGTTCCATTCCTTTTACCTAAGGAAATATCTTGATAGTGCTGAAATGGAGGCTCAAACTGAAATTATGTACATTCCTTACATACAATTGTATGTTTGGAACCAGAAGGGCGATATATTTGTGTAAAATGATATGAGTTTACACCAAAGAGATGATATCATTGCCTGCCTGTCTGATATAGACTATATGTGTCACATAATTTGATAAATCAAAATAATAGATTTGATTTGTAGAAGTGATTGGAAAATGGTGGAGGAAGTTTTTATATTTCTATTTTATGATAGCTGGGAGAGCCAACTTGGAACGTATATATTTTTACATAATTTTCATATAAATCACTTCAACTTGTTTTGTAACAATTAAAATGTATGTACATGTTTGAATGGACATGTATGAAATTGTGTGTAAAAACATACTGTATTACATGTTTGCGTGAATAGGAGGATATTATGAATATGTATGACATATAAATGTAAAATCATTCTATCAATTGATACGTGATTTAATTCTGGTATATTTCTTTCATGTATATGTGAATTTTTGATACATTTTTATAAATCTCATCACTTTTGAATTGTTATTTTCTCTTTTAACTGTGTGTGAATGTTTTGAAGAACATTGTGTGTGTATACATGTTGTTATGTGTTTGCTTGAATATGGTGATGGGTGTATGATATATAAATTTGAAAACCATTGATATGTGATTTGAATTTGAATGTATTCCATCCATCCTCTGTTATAGAACTTGATATACCGGTATCTTTGTTCATGCGAATAATTAACATACATGAATACGTGTGAGGTTTGTAACAATAGTGATATTGATCGACTGGCGATCATACTCTCAGGTAAAATTGCATACTTAAATCACTGACAGTGATTGTTGTTCAAGTACAAATTGCATATTATTGTCTTTCAAATTGACGATGAGATATAAGTGCTATTTTCAATGCATCAATATCTTCAGATTAAAGGTAAAGACCAGTATTGGAAAAGTCCCCATTTCAAAAAATGAAATGGAAGCTCTTATTACCAATCATGCCAAGAGTATGTTTTGATTAATACATGATGATAAAAATTTTGCCGGGAAACCGCCTAATAATTGATATATTTGGTAAATTAGTTTATCTATTGGTGTGTGAGAGATAAACGCATGTGTCGCACACATGTGCGTAGTCCTGTATACATCTTTCTGTGTACAGTGCTTGTAACTTTACGAAGACTGGGCCAAATTTCTTATCATTTTGATGATTCCAGAACCTTGCAGTACACACCAATACTTATATGCTAGATGATCAACCTTTTCTGATCGATTCCACAACGTTTCTTTCACAATACAATCGCATGACCATAACTGGTCTATCTTTAATTACATTAACTGGCCATGAGGGGGATGTGAGACTGTATTGCCCAAGGATAATTAATAGAATTGCCTGGCAAATGGTTGCATCAAGGGCACTGTAGTCTTGTATTCCCCAGTGAATATGCCAGTCAGTATTATTATTACCAGAAACTTTTCTTTATATTGTTAGCATCTTTTACATCAAGTTACGTTTACAAATTGATTATATACAGTGAAAAATATATACATATAAGAAAATATTGTTGTACCAGTTGGTGCAACACAGGTGTCTATGGGGTGATGGCTGTGCCATTAGTAATGATCTTTGTTATATGAATGATATATTCCATATTTGTAACATACCAAAATATATCTATGTACTAATAAAGGAATGATATATATATATATTCTTGGTTTTTTTACTTGATATTTTCTTCATGTATGTATCTGGACTCCAATGAATCTACACTTGCTTATATTGAGCGAAATCATTGTGTAAAATATATTATCACATGAAATATTATCATTCAAAGCTCTTTCAGTCATGTCTCTGTGGGTGAAAGGGAGTTTAATTTGCACATGTATTTTTACTTGTCCTTATTGGAAATTAAATTTGTGCAATTAACTCAAATTTGAATATTTAACTCGTATATATATATATATATATATATAGTGTATCTCAAAAATGTTAACATTTTGAAAATTTCTCCCAAAATCATTTAAAATTCATTACAGGAAATGTTCATACATGTTGATAAGGTCCCCTTTATCAAATCATCACACAAAAATCTGGTAATGTTTCACACTTGAGTGAGCAAAAGCCACTGAACTGGAACGAAACTTTGGTAAAGAGTGGAATATTCAAATAAACTGCAGCCTTGGCTTGTTAATACCTAGACCAGTTTTTCCATTCACAATCTTGCAACATATCGACAAGATGTATGATACACGCATTTGAAAAAAAGGCATCTGCATGCGCAATTTGAAATCATGCTGCAGTGGTTTCTAGTTGCCAATTAATGCAATTTTACTGGTCTATTTTTTATTTTTCTTTACTACTGAGAGAGTGATATGGTTTGTATCAAATATAATAAAGTATTATTGCTTATCAGAATATTGATGTTTGTGTTTTGTGTATGCATAAAGTTTGTGTATTACCTCCATTACCTCCATTGACATTCACCTCGAAGTCAATGGTGATTAAAGTGGAGAAAAAGATGATACCAGACTAAAAGTTTATTGTGAAAGAAGTTATAGTAATACTGGGTTCGAACAATTAGGCAAGTAAATTCTTCCCAGTACGTCTAGGAAAGTTCTTTCAGCTGTGAATGGCAATTTCACTATCACAAGTTCAAGACAATGCATTCACTCGGTCATTCACTATGATCGCTGTATCAGTTGTATTTAATTTATTCACAAATGTCGGCTATCTATCCCCAACCATGAGATTTAGTAGAAATTCTTACGTCTGCTAAATGCAAGAAAGTGGAACTTATTAAAGAATATACCTGGTAACAAAAAGTGTTTCAGTATCGATAAACAGTCATATCCAAAATTGTAAACTTCAGAAAATCTAGGTTGAACATGAATAAACAAATGGATCAAAACAGGATTTACTTATCTAGCAAAAGGAAAACACACTTCTGAAAAGACTTGATCAAACATGGTTATAATTTCTGCAAAACGGAATCGCTACATTGTGGTCGTAGCAGACGCCATTGTATCACCTGACTACAATGATCATGTGACCGTATGGTACCCGTTCGCCAGCCACACGCAGTACGTACAGTAGCTCCACCGCAAGCCCGCGCCACGGCCACGGTCCCGCTCGGCATCAGAAAGGCCTAGAGTCTAGTAGTAGACTCTACAAAGAGTAGGTCTAATCATATCAAGTAGAATGGCTGATGAAAAGAAGAAGAAAGGCTCATCTCGTCGTGGTAACAAAAGCAACACTTATGATGATGGTGCAGGTAGGCATTACCATTACTTTTATATTAGCAAAATATATGTTTTAAAAAAAAAATGAATCGACCCTCTACTCTAGCTAGGGTCTACTAGATTCTAGTCACACTTCCTAGACTCTAGCTGCATGTAGCATTACTACCCTGGCTGTGTTTTTAATTATTCTCGACATTTCAAACACCACTTTCCAAAACTCAACTGATTTCACTAAGAATCGGTACTTTAGTGACAATTGACGATACCTAAGTAGCAGTAAAATACTATTTTTTCTTTTAAATGATGTTAAAAAGAATTAATAATGTAAAAATTCAAATTGTAAGTCAAGTGTCAAATTTGCCAATCAGCCACATCGGTTATATTGTGTGAAGTGTATGCAATAGTGTGTGGTGTGTGTGTATTTGTGTATTATACCTGCCTCTCGGCAAGTATGCAGTGCTCGAGGTCAATAAGATCAGCTATGCGTGAAATCTTCATGACTCTGCGCGTCAGCGCGCGGGCGAAGGTATAGTACTATAGTATAGTGTACGTTTCAAAATAGCCGGCCTGCCTGCAGGCGATATACGTACACAAACCTTGCGAGGAGCTAGCTGAGGCAGTCGAGGCAGTCGGCCAGTATCCTACGTAGTCTAGCAATTACTACCTTTTTTCTTTTAAAATAACACACAATAAAATGGAGATGTGTTGATGCCGAAAGCTCTGGGTGTAATAATCCTGCGCAGTTATGAAGAAACTCCTATCTATTCGGTACTCTCTAAGTGAGGGTGAAAATGCAATAAGAAATTAAGGCCTATTTTGATGCGTTTCTGCTAAATAAAGCCTGATACGTGTTTTCTCCAAACTTGTGATTTACACATCCAAATAACTTTCTCCAGGGTGGTGTTTCACAAAGACTAAGATCAACTTTAAGTTGGACTTTACTATGGCAGACCTCTTATGCCACTGTTTGCACTCACCATATACTGGCATTGGTCTCTCAATGGAGGTTCAAATCATGGTCACAAATTTACGCTTTTTGATAATTCATTATTGAAGGAAGAAATATCTAAAATCATAATGGTGAGAGAAAACATGTGACATGAACAGCCTGTCATAGTTAAGTCCAACTTTAAGTCCATCTTAGTCTTTGTGAAACACCCTACTGGTCTTTCATAAATAGGCAAACAAAAGCGTTTCATATATATCTTGAATGCAAATTATTCTTTTTCACTTCCATTCTGTTTAATATTCGTCCACAGATCAAGTAATGTTAGACAAAGACCTTCAATGCTACCAGTAATTAAAATCACATTAAATAAATCTAGGTTTATTTTGTATGTTTGCTAGGTAGGCATTTTTAAAAAAAGTGATGCCCCTCCCCCCCCCCCCCCTACCCCCAATAAAAAAAAAAGGAGATTTTTTCAATTTACATTATCAGTCACACTATTGTTTCAGGCAATCTATTAAAGCTCAGAATATACATGTAGATGGTCCTATAAAAGAACAAAGAAAATGCAAACTCAAATCAGGAGAATTTGAATGTAGAAAAGGATTCAATGTCCTTGCCACTCATTCCCCTTTGTCTAACCGAGGGATAACCATCTAAATTATACCTCTAGATGCAAGCCCATCAGGTCTTCAGTGCCCGCTACAAGGTAGTGCTCGGGTCATCAAGGATCACTGCGCTGATTGGCACAATCATATCGATAAGTGGAATGGAATGAACGATGCAGGCTTCAACATCATCAACAAGATCATCAATCTCAGACTTCAAGCAAAGTAAGTATGACGAAAGTAAGGAATTATAAGATGTGTCAAATAGTGACTTGTAAGGAACATTAATTAGCTGATTGTAATGATTTCACTGAAGTAAAAAAACATGTGCACAGAAAACCCATCCATCATCCTTTTCAAGTAAGTTATATTTTGAGTTTTGCATGTCCATGATATGTACCCTTAGAACAGGACTCTACAGTAATTTTTTTTGGAAGGGGGTTTGGATTGAAATTGTTAGTCTGTATGCATGATCCCTGTGTAAAAACTTTCAAATTTGGGGGTCCAGACTTAGATATTGGGTGCCAAGGTGTACCTGGTGCCTCTTATATCGAAACCTGCTAATTATGTAATACTTTTTTGCAAATTTCCAGAATATAAGTTTTAAATGATTTATTTTTCCTTACACCAAAATATTCATGGAAGCCCAAATTCTATAGCTGTTCCCAATCTGTATGGTACAATTGTGCTTTTTGCCTACATGCTTAGTGTAAGAATCTGTGCAAATAGTCTACTTGTTGATTAATATACAATTATAAAATGATGCTTTATAACATGATTTGACTAATAATTGGTCATAAGCATTTACTAATGAACGTTCATTAGTAAAATTAGGTCTTAGGCATGATAAATGCCTGGTCACTTGTACGCTCTCAACAAATCATTTGATTAAGATCCACTTATTATCTTATAACATTTAATATCTTCTTCTGTAATCTAGGAGTGACGGACAGAGGAAGGTTGAGGTGCGGTCTGTGGCCACCACTGAGGCAGAGTTTATGAGTGATGAGCATGATGGGATGCCTGAAGGTCTTGAAGCCTTATGTGAACAACTGACCACCATACAAACATCTATGGTAAAAATGTTACTGATGTGTGCATAAGAGAGTACCCAGTAGTGGGATTATTTAGTTGGTACCTTCTCTAATAAAGGGATAAGGCAGTAAAACATTCCACACAATAAGACATAATGAGCTGCAACATGATTTGGGGCATATTTCATTTCATTTTTTTTTTTTTTTTAATAGAAAAACGCCACTTTTTGGCCAAAATGGCAAGGGATTAGTTCAGCATTTTGGCGGAAAAGATATAAAAATATTTGAATAGGCTAGTTTCCTCACAATGTACGTCCATCATGGGCGTAAATCCTTACGTAATACCTATTGTTCAGGGGGGATGAATGAATAGATCACCCCCCCCCCCCTGAACAATAGGTATCAATTGCAGATTTATGCCCATGACGTCCATATATGCCATGAGATGGACCCTGACCCCCGTTTGGCTTCTAAAGGGGCAGAGAGACAAATTTCATAACAATTTGAAAAAACCCACTTTTTGGTCAGTTGGTGTTGGCAGCTCTGCATTGCAATTCATTATTTGTAATAATTAGTTTCATAACCTTATGTAGCAGCATAACTGTATTGAAGGAGTATTGACTGGTTAACTTTAATTACTACAAACTTGATCATTACAAAGTCATTACAATTCTGTGAATATTTAGAAATTTATTTAGAATATTACATCTTTTGTTTTTCTCCTCATTCCATTGTCACTTTAGCTACTTGTATGTTTCTATATTTGATTGTTGGGTCAGTTAGTTTAATCCTGGAGCCCTTCTTCACATATCTAAATAAGATTCCTTTTATGTTGAATTTCAGGCTACTCTGATGAAAAAAATGGCTGCCATCACAAAGCATTTCCAAGGTGTGGAAAAGTTGGAGCAGAAAAGAAGGAATCCCAATATGTATGCCAGTCCAATGTTTACAAGTTGGTCAGTGGACAAATTTGGTAAGTATTAATTTGTGTGATGAATGAACACCAAGAAGTCAACTTTTATGTTGAATTTCAGGCTACTCTGATGAAAAAAATGGCTGCCATCACAAAGCATTTCCAAGGTGTGGAAAAGTTGGAGCAGAAAAGAAGGAATCCCAATATGTATGCCAGTCCAATGTTTACAAGTTGGTCAGTGGACAAATTTGGTAAGTATTAATTTGTGTGATGAATGAACACCAAGAAGTCAAGTTTCTCATATTGCATAGTAGAAGTTTTACATTGTATTTTATTTAACAAAATCCTTTTGGGTTATAAATGTGTTTATATTGTAATAACTCATTGGAAATATATTCATACATTTATAACAACACGTTTATTATTTATGTTTATGTTCCCCGACCTCTCTCTCTCTCTCCTTCTCTCTCTCTCCCTCTCCTTCTCTCTCTCTGTCTCTGTCTTTGTATTTCTCTCATTCTCCATCTCACCATCTATCTTTGTAACTCTTTGTTACACTCACTGTTTTACTCTGCCCCATCCAATGCGTTTTGTTTCTCTCTCATCTCTCTTTTGTTATCTCTCTCTGTCTTTGTATTTATCTCATTCTCCATCCCACCATCTATCTTTGTAACTCTTTGTTACACTCAATGGCGCTCTGATCAGTTTTTCTGTAATAGCGCTCAATAAGAATCAATTATTATTATGTCTCTTCCTTCTTGTCTTGTCCAGTTCAAGCCTCACAGCATCTTCAAGACATGTACCAGCAGGAACTGGAGGTCAAGAAGGTCATCGTGGAGGATGTAGCTCACCATGACGACCGAGACATCATGATGATGTATGCCTCCACCTGGCTTCATCAGCCGTACATTGAAGATGATGCAGTGGTTACGTTAGAGAGTATGCTTACAGAGACAGGGTTTAGGTGACATCAGAGGGAAGAGCAGGTGTAGCGTCAACTAAAAAGGATTACAGTCGGAGGCGCTGTAGACAAGAGTTAGACAACACGAGATGAAAAAGGCTGTTCTACGTGTAGGAGCAGGAGTGAGAAGTCAAGAAGGTTAACGTTGAGGATATAGCTCACCATGAAGACTGTGACATGATGATGCCTCCACCTGGCTTCATCAGCCATACATGGAAGATGATGCAGTGGTTACGTTGGAGAGTATGCTTACAGAGACGGGGTTTAGGTGACATCAGAGGGAAAAGCGGTTGTAGCGTGACTAAAAAGGGTTACAGTTTGGAGGTGCCAATGGTGCTATAGACGAGAGTTGGACAACAGATGATGAAAAAGGCAGTTGTACATGTAGGAGCTCAAGCTAGAAGTCAAGAAGATGATCACCAAGGATCACTATGATAATCATGACATCATAATGATGTACGCCTCTACCTGGCTTCATCAGCTGTACATTGAAGATGATGCTCACAGAGACAGGGTTGATGTGACAGCATACAAGAAAGGCGGTTATTTAGGAATATGAATAGTGAGGACCAGAGAGGAGAGGCATCATGGAATGATTTGGTGATATCAAAGAGCATGCTTAGAGAGACTTACATGATAGCAGAAGGAAAAGGAAGTTATATACAGGATGATTATGATTGAGCTGCGAGGGCTATAGAGGAGAGGTAGTGCTGAAAAGTGTGAATATATTAGTGAGCTTGCTTACAGAGCTCACTGTTTGGTGCTATTTCAAGGAGAAGATGCGGTAGCAATACCAAATTACTCATTTCTTTTTGGATGTCCGCACGGCTGTTTATATCATATAGGCCTTTTCAGTCATTCGCAAGCCTGTGCAAATCAAGAAATGGCTTTTCAGATCTTTGTTTGTGAAGAGAATCCAACAAAATTAACACTATAGCAACATCTGAAGTTGAGAAGTAGTTCGCACGAAAGCCTAAAGGAAGTTCCAGGGACAAGCAATTTAGTGATTGAACATGGATTGATCATGGCATTGATGTTTCCAAAGTTCAGAACTCGTTGGGTTCCATAAACACCCAATTTTTTCTGTATGTTTGGCAGAGATAGATTGGAAAATGTACGGTATATCTAAATAAAGGAAATAAAATCTTTTATTCAGACTATTGGTTTTGCTTATGATCTCAATTTCTTTTTTACTCTGAATATTCTCATAACACATACAATTTGTCTTTCAGTTCAAGTCACTCTCCCTTTTCAAATACACTTTGTTACTTTACCAAATCTTACCAGCATATTTCTCAATTCCTAGAGGTAAAGTTGATATTCTATTTACATATACAGTTAACAACTAAATTATTCATACCCTTGCCAAGTTTTGTAATTTTTTAAGTATGTGAAAATTGATGTGTCATGATTTATGTTTCTTGAAACTGTGATGCATTACAGCTTACATTTAAAATAATTCAACCAAGGCCCTAATTCAACCAGTCCACCTTTCATTCTAGAGTTACGAAAACACACACAAAACATCAAAATTTGACCAGGGGTATAAATAATTTAGTTGTTAACTGGATGTGGATTTTCCTTATGCTGGTGAGAACCGATGTGCAGATTTAAACAGTCAACACATACACTCAGAACACACAAGATGATACTGCAATGTTTTTCATACATATTTAATGGAATATTCACATGACACATGTATATACAGGTGCAACGTCATGAATACGTCAACAAAGATTTCACTTTTTCTGTACATTAACCTAACTTGTTTTTAGGTACAGTAAGTTGTTTGATCGTTTTAGCTGGGAAATGTCTGGAGTAGTGTGAAATTCAATTACTTGCACGAATTTTATTTGATTAGCCTTACATTTGATCTGGATGTTTTCACTCTTCAAATTATGGTGAATACCTCATCTTAAGTTGCTTTACAGATTTTCTTGTCAATAGGAGAATTCAATGATCAAATAATGTATACAAATTCACTTTCAAAAATTGTAATAATGAAAAGGATGATTGCAATGCATGGAATATTAGAAGATAGAAAATTTAATTTCTTTTTTTTACAAATTAAAGAATTCATAATGTAATTTTTTGTAGGTATACCTAATTATATTGTTTTACTCCTCTTTAAGCACACATAAATATTACAAATTATAGCTTTAAGAAAAAATGCATATGAAAACCAAATAATTTTCTTTGTTACATGTCAAAAATGTTCTTGCCCAGGGAGTTACATGATTTATTTGACAAATAGAGGCTCATAATTTACTTCAGATATAACTGGCATTTTACTTTTCCCTTGTTCAATTAGAAGTTCAAACTGAAGAAAAAAGAAAGAAAAAGATTCTAGTCCATTTGATGTAGAATGTAGCACTATGTACAGAATTTAGAAAAGTTAATTCAATAACTGGATGCCTAAAGCAACATACATGTACTTGTTTCATACATAATAATCAGAAGTAATGTCCATTCATGTAAATACATGACAAACATGGTCTACTGGTAATTTGGGTAATATTAAATAAATGGATAAGATTTCGACCCCTAGCTTTGTGCTGTTTGCTTAATAATATAGTGTTCATTCTCATAATCTCATTACTAACAGATTTGTAAACGACTAACATATTCTATTTCTGTCCTATATACCATTTCTTACCTTGAATTCAATTCAATTCGTACAACTTTGGTTCAAATTAAAATTTCATGAGAAGACATAGAACCACATATAATTTCAACCAATATTACATTATATAATTCACCCTTTTTTATTCATTCCATTCATATGCATACATGTCTATGGTATGCATCGGGAGTCAAATTTTGATAAATTCACACTAGTGCAATTCCAAGAAGGATGAAAACATTAATTAAAGAACAGAATGAGTTGAATCTCCCCAAAACTACATGTTTAGTCACTTTAATGCAACAAATATCCCCATTACATGGAGTACAGTACAACCTTTCAATGACTTCATTGGCTCATGCTTTGAAGATTCAAATTAGATATCATTAATGAAGCATGTAAAATTCAATTACAAACATTAAGTTGATCATTGTTGTGCAAAATGCAATTTATTCTATTTCTAGCTTGATACTAACAGCTGTTATCTGTTATCGAAGTCTATCTCTGTGATTTATTAATGTATTCAAAATTATGGATGTTTCAAATGAATGGAATACAATACTTGAAATTCAGTTTGCATACATTACTTGTTGCTACCCTGGGCAAGCTTTAAGGTTTGCATAAAACCGTGTTTCCCTTGTTTTAAGGAAAAAATTGGGGGGCCTTTATCGATGAAACCTTCGCAGTTTCGAGAGACATCATGATTCAATTTTTAAGGATATTTATAATTTCATTTTTTCACCAAACTCCATTCTCATGCCTGATAAAATTGGAATATGTTGGTAAACCTGCACATTGTCTACTAGAGCTCTCAGACTATATCTCTGTAACAGATTAACACAGAGAAAAATACATGGGAGACTATACCAAGCATTCAATATCTAGCTATGGTGGTGGTGATGGAAAAATAATTTTCACCTCAAAAGGATATTATAGCTGTATATCAAACTACTAAACTCTACATATGTGCATCTCACTATCATATACAGTCAACAACGTTGGAAATGGTGTTGCAAAACATTCCAGACTAGACATGCAATGTACAGAGCATACATTCATACTCAAACCTAATAATGGTAGCTGAATACACATATCAAATTCATGCACGTATAAAGCAGACCAAACAAATTCTAAAAAAACAAACTATATTGCCATATTCAAAAATATACACAAGCATATATGTTACATATTTACAATTGAAGACAGCTGTCGAATTCTGGAGAATGGGCAGACAATTTATAGATGCCTACAGGATTCCTTTACAAGTTATCTTAATACTTGAATCAAAGGTTTTGACTGCTATTAACATTTCCAGGTACTCAATTTATACACTTAATTAATATTCACACTATTCTACTTCAAACAAAGGTACACTCTAGGTGCAGACATGTCATTTGTCACAGTATTGTTACAAAAATACTTTCCTTATTTGAGAGTTCCATGATATATATTCAGCTGAAATACTAGATATCATAGACCTGTATTCTCAAACATTCTGAAAGTTGAATACGCAAATAAACAGAGAAACTAAGAGAGAATGATTGAATAGAGAGTGAAAAATGAAAGAAAGGCAAGTTGCTGACAGACTACAGTGTGGTTGGTTGCAGCAGTACAGACAGACTGCATGATGCACAATACTGGCAAGTTGGGCATTATGGCAATTCATATATACACACAGCACACTCCTCCCCACGGAGGACCATGGTTCTGAAGCGATCAATCCGTTGACTGATTAATCAAACCCATCTCAACGGCCATATCCAGGGACATTCCGGCCGGTAACTGGACGCAGCTGCCATCGTCCAGGATGTACTGGGGACTGGGTTCCTCAACAGTTTCAATGGCACCCCCCTCCATAGACAGCAGAGCTTGGACAGTCTCTATGGTCATGCCGTCGGGTGTCTGGATCTGCATGGCGGTGCCATCCGGCTTCTGGAGGAGGAAGGTACCGTCTTCCAGCTGCATGATGGTGGTGCCCTCGGGCAAGACGGTGGTCTGTTCTACCAGGTCTTCAGAGGGCGTTTCTCCCCCCGTCTCCATGAGGGAGGTACCAGTCTCGCTGGATGATGCCCCTGCTTTCGCTGGGTCAGCCTGAGTAAGAACAACAATGGAGATATCTGTTATACCACTGGTATATACTTTAGTGCTAGAATATATTTACACAATAAATCATGAGTAACAGGCAGTATCCTAACACAATGCATCAAAGGATGACCTACATTTTTTTTTTACAAATATGAAATCATAATTATATGCCAATTTATACAGAATACACCGACCTATTACTTCACACATCTAAAATAGATAGACTATTCAGAAAAGGGGAAAGATACAAGACAACAATTTATGCAAATGAAGTGATTTGCATATCAAAGTCTTACCACATCAGAAGAGACAGCCTGGGAAGTTGTTGCCATGGTATCAAGACCACCTGTCATGAGCTGTGGGTCTGATGACATGCTAGATGATGGTGTGGTATTGGTGGTGGAGGTTGTGCTGGAGTTGCTCACCTGTTTTGATGATGATGATGCCGGCTGGGTGATGGTAGGTTTCTGAATAAAGTTAAATGAATAATTGTGTAAAACAGTACTGGCAGAGAAATAGCGAATCAGAGTGATCTTTAGCATGAATTTCATCAATCTCACAAGACTGTGTGGAAACCTGATGCATGAAAAGATGACCCTAATCTGAATTGCCCAAGTACCATCAACAGTGGTACTATTTAGGTAGATAAAGAGAAATAAACCACATCTGATATCAAAATTAGATACAAGCAACCGGATGTGCATTGTGTACAAATAAACTGCAAGTGGTGATAGATTGTTAGATACACATAATCCTTGAAAACAAAAATGACTCTTGCAATTCCATAAGCTGATGTTCAATCTAAAGCACATAGGTACAAGAGAAAGGAAGAAAGAGAGAAACACAGAATATGTCATCTATAAGGGACCTGAAGTACACGTATAGTACTTTACCAGCACAGTAATGCTATCCAAAGCTTCTAACTGGTTGGATTTACACATTTACTTTATTTGGACTCCAGGGATCTCCAAAATAGTGGAGGGATCAACTGAGAAGAAGATTGATTCAATGAGAAAAGCCATTTACCGTTTTGATGGGTTTGAGGGGTGGCAATGTTGTCGTAGCACTGGTCGTCTTGGCCGTAGGGCTGGATTCAAAGGCTGCAGAGTTGGATTCCAAACCCTTGGATGCCTTGGATGATATAGGTCCCAGAGGAGGGATGGGTCGCTTTGCAGCAGGTTTTACCGTGGTGGTGCTGGTGAGGGGTACATCAGCGATGGATGCTATGTTCCCGATGGTGTGGACTCTCTTAGCGGCGGCGGAGGTGGAGGAGGTGGCGGTGGGTGTCGTGAGCCTGGTCGATGCAGACCTAGAGGGGGAAAGGATGCTGATGGTTCCAGGGGTCTTTTTGCTCGGGGGCTGTTTAAATGAACCAAAAATTTTACCAGTGAATATTTAGATGCATATCATATCAATTTTAGATGTATAAATTCACATTTCTATATTATCATTTAATAATTAACCACAATTCTGTGAGATCCTACAAGCAATACTAAAACAGGTCCTGTGAACAAAATCTATACAATTTACATTTGTCAACATAGATTTGATTAGATAACTCTAATATTAACAGCCCTTTTTAAAGCCCCACTGTCCTACTTGTAGCTACTTGCTCCCTCTATATAGAAAACAATGCCTATTCAATGACATTGGTCCCCCATGATCCTTTTTTTCTTATGTTAATTGAGAGCTGAGTTGATGAGATAGCCACCTGTTATTGACCACGCTGTGTGGTCTAATCCTCCCAGCCATACTAGTACAGCCGGCCTTTAATAGTATAATTAGTGAGTAAACATCTGCTCTAATCAAAACTATGACCCCTCAAAGTTTACCTCACTCCTTGCTGGACTTCCCATTCTGCGCTTCCTCTGTAGTGCTTCTCCTACACTCTCTGCAACTCTGGGTTGTTTTTGTTCTTTATCTTTGATCAAGACTGCTTCTTGCTTCCGGCTCAGAAGCCTTACAGTCTTTGGCAGTGCATCTTCTGAAGGATTCTTGAAGCGGTACCGTCCAGTCTCCACACCAAGTACCTTAGCCATGGTGTCATCCTCAATCAGAAGCTCTTGTGTTTCACTCCCTGTGGGGGGGGGGTAGATTAAATAAGATTGAATTAAAGACAAAGTTGAGTTCTGGTCATGCGATTACATTGTGAAAGAAACGTTGTGGAATCAATCAGAAAAGGTTGATCATCTAGCATATAAGTATTGGTGTGTACTGCAAGGTTCTGGAATCATCAAAATTATAAGAAATTTGGCCCAGTCTTGGTAAAGTTGCAAGCACTGTACACTTTTATGATTTTATGATGCTACATGCCGTATTTAGAAAATTAAGGCATTTGAAGAGACATGCTTTTTCAGGGAACAGTTTATCTGATGTTCTTCCACACTTGCATAATACGATAATAACGCTCACAAATTATTTTTCACCTCTTCCCAGAACTCAACCTTTTCTTTAAACAAGAATACATTAAATATATTGTCAAAGACACTGGCATACATGGACGAATCAAATTGCTAATAATCTTGCACTTTTTTAATATAAAAAGCACATGTTCACTGTACTTGTTTACAAAAAATTACTGATACCAAACTTTGGGAAAACCTATATATATCTACAAGTCACAGTGTATTAAACAGATATCACATGTCTTTAGTGAAGACCTGTCATGAGCTCAGGTTTATGTTACCTTAATCTCCATCCCAAAGACTTCAATGTATAATGGCAAGTGCAAAATCATTTATGAGTTAATAACAAGTACCTACATGTAAATGTATTTAAATGGAATGAACTAGTAATAGAGCTTTGCATGGGCCTCTATTTGCCTATCAAGCATGCTTATAATTTATTGAAATGTCCAAGGGGGTGTTCCACAAAGATCCTATTCCTAAGTCTAACTTAACTCTAAGACAGACTTTAAAATTATGAAGAACCATTTGTAGCCTTAAAATAAAATATATTCAAAAGAGAAAAATATTTTAAACTTTGTATAAATTCCACATCAAGAACATGAAATCTCCTTAATAATAGAAAATATGAATGATTTGAATCAACATCTTATGCCTTTTAAAATAATGTTAACAAAATATTTTCATAGATGCTAACGGCTTTCCTTAAAGGGATCGTTTAACAATGTTAAATCTGAGATACATGGCCCTACGTGTTATCAGTGTCTGTGATATGGTGTAATATTGAAGCCCTAAAAAAATTGCGCTTCAAAATGATCAAGAAGTGCCCCAATAAAGTAAAAATCTTTGAGTGACCGGTTTTACCATACTCGTTTTCCCCAGTAGACTGTAGTGTTATGAAAACCGTCAGGCGAACGGTTTTCAAAATTTGTAATTCCAATCATAAATATCTGGATAATCAGACAGGCGATCGGCTTGTAAAAGTCATGGGGTTCCTGACTGACCTAAAGGTTTATAATTATCATTGCATCATGAGCTAAATCCAGAATTTTGTTTCAGAATCTGAGACAAAGTTACCGGATCCCTTTAATTGTTAAGTCCAACGTACAGATAAGTTCAACTTAGGATCTTTGTGAAACACCCCCTAGGCTGAAAAAATTGTCTAAAGTTAATTTATCAACCTTTCCAGGAATGATCCTTTGCAGCAGCACCTGAGATGCGCTCCAGGCATGATGTAGCCATCTTTCTGGCTTCTGTATGCATTTCTTTGAGAGATTTGAGGATAGTAGGGAAGATAGCATCTTTGGTGGTGGTCTGCTGAGCTCTGGCCACAGTGTACTCCCAGGGTTTGATGACCTTACACAGCATAGGTAGCGTGACCTTGATCAGATCTTCATCAAGGGGAGACTTGGGGTCAAAGAACTGTGGCAAAAAATGTATAGATATTCACAGTATTATAATTTACTTGAATGGTTAAGGCATATCAAAAGATATGTGATTTTCTCAATCTATGATTCGGATAGAAAAGATAATGCTCTTGATCAGATCATCATTAAATGCAACAGACGTTGAAAGATGTTCTAAATAGATTAATCAAATATCTGGGATTTTTAAATCTATGAATCGGATGGTTACAGTACAATGTAGTTAAAGGTGATGGGATGCTTTCCTAAATGCTTCTGGTGAAAAAGTATATGCCTTTTAAAAAACTGAACAACTATCAATACAAAAGCTTGTTCAATCCCTCAAACACAAAGGAAAAAACATGACCATATTCTTCAATAGATCCTTAGAATTATGCTTTTTTTCTTCTTCAAGTAATGTCATAAACACAAAAATTCAGAAAGAAGTCCAACCTTAAAAGTTGATGTATCTTCCTTTTCAACATCTTTGCTGTTTGATGATACTGTTGGCGAGTCTTCACTCTGATCAATGACCTTACGACCTGAGCCAGGGGGTCTTCCTCTCCCTCTCCCTCTACCTCTGGGTTTATATGGTCCAGTCCTAGGGGTGTAGTGGTAGGTGATGATAGCTGGTTTGGGCCGCACTGGTGATGTTTGCTCATCTTCTTTGGATGTCTGTTCTGAGGAGCAGGGCTTTTCATCTTCAGCTTCAGCTTTAGGAGATTGGTCTCCATTAGATTTCTCATCTGCCTCGCTTGGTGTCTTCTCCTCTTGTTTGCTAAAGAACAAAAAAAAAATGAAGTACTAGATGAACAGTTTGGTTTTAACAATGATTTTAACTCAATTTCTACCTTTTCTTCTGCCATGAGAAGCATACATGTATGAAACCTGAAGGACTACAAGATCAAAAATTTGTACCATACCATGTAAATGTCTTAAAATGTTAGGCCTTTTTAGTTTTTACATAAAGATTACATTGTAGGAAGTGGAAATTATGATAATTATACAGATGTTATTTTAAATACACCTTTAATTAAAAGAATTGCTTCTTTTTCTTTCTTCTTTTTTGGCATGGAACTTTCACTTCACAATCAAGGAAACACAAATAATTTAAAATGAAAGAACAAAGAAACCTACTCTTTCTCATCACTTTGTCTCTCGTCAAACTGTTGGTCTTCATCTTCTGTCTTTGCAAACACGGAATCTGGATCTCCATGAGTTGGGTTTTCTCTGTAGTGCCTGGCAAGGCCACCTTTACCAATATACCTCTTTTCACAGTTCTGACATTTATACTTTCTCTTCAGATTATACATGCTGAGAGCAGATGATCCAGTTTCAGTCTCATCATAGTCTGAGTACTCTCCATCAGAGGAACCTGGTTGATCTCCCAACTCTTCATTGGACATGGTCTTGTATTCTTTGATTCGGTACAACGGAGGCCTGGATACTCGTCCTGATCGAGTCTTGCAGTTGGCAGGTCTCTTCTGTCTCAAAAGATGCAAGTCCCGGGAGGATGGCACTGCAGGGGCCATTCCCTTGACTGCTGCTTTACCTCCACCTCGCCCAAATTTCTTCTTCACGCCAAGGACTATGGCTGGCTTAGGACTCGGAGAGGCTCTGACCAATGCTGAAGAGGGTGATGAAGTTGTTCTTGTGATCGCGGTTGTTGGATTGCCATTGTTAGAAAGTCTGTTGGACAAGACAGTACCAGGTGGGAAAGTTCTGACAGGTGTTTGCAGCTTGTTGGTCACATTTGTCACTACTTTCATGAGTGGAATCGTGCTTCCCTGTGTCTGGCTGGGGGTCAAGATCGCTGCAGAAACAGGAGCTGGAGCTGGAGCCGGAGCTGGGAGAGGGGCTGGAGCTGGAGTGGATGACTGGGTGGTCACGGTAGCGGGAGCATCTGGGACACGGACAATGGTGATGGGTTGACCAGGATTCTTCGCTAACAGGGCCTGCACTTCTGGGGTATTCACGATATTGGATATGAGTGTTTGGCTGAGAGCCCCTGTCCCGGGTGGTGTTCGGACGGTGATTGTTACTGGCGAAGGGGTTGAAGAGGCTACTCTCAGAGTTGGAACGCTTGTAATTGGAGCTGTTTGTTGCTGGGAGATGGCTTGTACGAGGCCAGGTGTATTCAGAAGAGATGTTCCGAGGCTAGCAATATTACTTGAACCTGTCAATAAACTATTCCCATTAACAAGTAGTGATGTGTTCTGAACTGATCTTGCTAAATTCAAAGATATAGGACTCGCTGCAGGTGCAGCGGTCAATGCAATGCAAGTGGGAGTGGTTCCAACTGATGATGCTGAAGCCATTTCTAGGATGTTTAATCCATCTTTATTTCTCGTGTTATCTGTAAGAGAGCATTCGCTGCCTGAATCAATCATGGTTGCAATGGATCCAAGTAAAGAACTTGCTGCAATATCCGACAGCACATTATTTGATGAAGAAGACATGGCGGAATCACCTGAAAGAGCTAGAGCAGAGGAGCCTGTATCAATTTTTGAAGATTCAGAATCAATTTGACTTGTCAGACAATCAGCTTGTGATGCAATTGAATCATCAATTAACCCATTGTTACTTGAAGTTGATGTGCTGTCAGCAATCAACATTTGATCTTGATCTACAACTTCGGGAAAACTGTGTGCTTCTCCATCTCCTTGTCCATGCTGTTCAGCTTCTGGAATGACAGTTCCAGAATCTTGTTTATCATCATGATCATTTAACACGCCGCTACCCGGGGCTTCGGTGTTTGCGTCGGCTGTCTCTCCTGCTGCGGCAGAGAAGTTCATGTCATCTTCCTGTCCGGATTCGTCCATTTTTGAAAGAGCCTCGGACAATAAATCCAGCGATTTTCCTTCCTTTGTTCCTGTAGTATTCTCCCCGTTGAAGCCTTGTTGTTTTAAATCATCTTGGGTCTCAGAATCGGGATCAGAAGGAGTAGAATCTACTTTTTCAACACCCTCCGCGTCCGCCATATCAAAGCTGCTCTCAACAAAAGTAAACCCTGAAAATGTACTGGGGACCTCGCGCAGTCGTTTTTTGTCTAATTATGATGTCCACGCACTGAGTACATTACCTTTGCATGAGAACTATATAAAACGCCCGGATAGAGTCTAACCCCTTTATTGGAGGTCACCTGATTGTTGCACATTGATGTTCATAATAAAGTCTACTGTGCCTTTTACAAGTTTTAGGTTCCCGAGTCCATATTCTAGAGGATTTGCACATAAAACATTCACCATGTCTTCAGAGCAATTCGAAAGGATTGAAGATGACTACCGAACTCTCTGTGACACAGTCAAGTACAAACTTGAAGCAAGAATTCCAAATTCATCTGGTGGTAAGAATAAGAACTAATGACACTGACACTGCACAGTGACATGACAGTGCAGTGTCATTTTCATTTTCATTCATGATAACAATTAAGTTTTAATCATTAACCTATAGAATTCTACATGTTTTGTTGATCAATTAATATGTCATACTCATGAGTTAGAAGTTAAATTGTTAGATTTCTTTCGTATTCAATGATCCTTCTTTATAATGTATTATGGCATGACTTTTTTCCACTTAACTAAACTGACTAGACCTATACACGTTTATTTCCACATCATATGGAAAAGTGGTGTTTTTTGGGCGAGTCTTGAACTCATGCTCGCGCGCATGTATTTGAACTAATGGGCACAGGCTTCAAAAAACGTTCTTTTGTCAAAGATAGTGGTGTAACTTTGCAATGCTGCAAAAAACAAGGCTGGTGCGAACGTTTTTCTATTGCCTATATTTTTTCTTGTATTTTCCAGAATATGAGAAAATAATTTTAAGTATTCGCGTCGGAAAAGGCCTCGAAAGAAAGATTTTCAAGTGAATTTTGATACCAACCCTTTCATAGCAATGCACGTACTTGCACAATTCAAAGCAGGAAACATAATCGATAACCCGTGTTTGAGACTGTATCCCAGCAACGGATTACCCTACACATACAGCGCGTTCACTTTCCAGTGCGGAATTTATCCCTCTCTGTCCTATATCAAAATCAAGCTGATTGGTCTTGAAAATTTGTCGGAAACCTTTGACAAGTAAGAAGATTAATCTTTTCCATCCAATCACATTTGGCGACTCTCCGAGCTCATTAGCATAGAGAGTCATGGTGCGCGCACTCGACTTTACATGGCTCAGATGGCTGTGTATGCAGTTGGCGCGTAGGGTCATGAATTATTCATGAGACGTACACGTGTGGCTGTGCGCTGAGCAAAAAAAGACACGCGCAGATCTACTTTAGTGGAATTTCGGCCTGAAACTTTTCCATATGGTAAAATCCTTGATGGAATGGGTAATCTGTCATGGCAGGGAAGTCATAATCAGAAGTATGTTCCCTGATTTTCAGACCCACATCAATTTCAAGATAAATTTTATCTCTAAATAGTTTTAAAATTTGTTATTTGATTTGGAATGCTTACATTTTGTGATTTTAATATTTGTTGAAGCCTTAAGCATTGGACGCAACTTTTATAGCATGGCAATTTTACTAAGAATAATATAAAGGTGTTTTTTTTTAAACTATCAAATGAAAATATCCGGGGTACCCATCTCAAAAACAAAACTGATTCACCGTTCTTGAAATGAAATACCCACAAATATATTTTGTAATCTACACTTTTTTTAGTATTTTGCATCTCTTCTTATCCCCTGCTACTATTTCCAATCGTTTTTATTTCCTAATTCATTTAAATAATAGCAGTTTTTACCTAAATTTACTTTTTTTATAATTGAGGTGGAATTGCGACTCAGGCTGAGTCGTGGCTCCTCTTCTTGCCGATAAAATCAATTTCATGAGATGTCTAGCTAGTAAGCTCTTCAGGAAACGGTTTAGGGAGATTAGAGATATTTCTATAGTTGATGAATAAAGTTATGACTGTCATGTTGTTTCACCTGAGGGTTTGTCTATATATAAAAGAATAAGCTTACAAAAGGACAAAAGAAACAATGCAATAACAAGGCAGCTGGTTTTTCCCATATTTCCTCTCTGAGGTCAGGAGCCCATTAACTTTGCATGTGCATTAAAAAAAGTGGACAGTTAATTTTAATTTTGAAAGAAAAAAGTCAAACAGGGTAATTTAAGGAAAAAAAAATGAATCTGCTTATCACATTTTCATTTTGGGCCAAGGTAAGTAATCCCTAGGAAGTCAAGGAAATTGGGATAATGACTTAAAAATCAGCTACCCAAAATCTTGACATAGGTCTGACAAGAATTCTCCTAAATAGGAAAGAGTCTCCCATATTGCACCTCTACTGACTGATGGTAGTGATGTGGACAATTGTACTGAAACTCGAAAGAACGATTTATGACTATGTCAAGAGATTTTTCAATTTTGAATGAACTAATTTAATAAAAGCAGGGTTCCCATGGTCATGGAAAAATAAGATCTTCTGGAAAGTCATTGAAATTGATCTTGGGTGTTGGCGGCCGTGTTTATGTGCCTGTGTGGCTATGGGCCATGACAGCCTTCTAGTTTGAACTGACAAAGGGTGTGTGGATGGTGAAAACCATACCTTACATGTACTTACATGTATCTGGTCATGGAAAAATGCAAAAACGGGTCATGTAAATGGTCATTTACATTTAATTGCTTTTCAAACACAAAAATACAGAAATATTGGGATTTTAACAAGTACTTGTCAGCAGATCTACCTGTATTTCATATCGATTAAAGGTGGCTATCTCATCAACTCAGCTGTCAATTAACATAAGAAAAAGAGGATCATAGGGAACCAATGGTCATCAATTAGGCATTGTTTTCTATATAGAGGGAGCAAGTAGCTACAAGTAGGACAGTATGGCTTTAAGTAATTTAAAATGACTGCACATCTGCACTTCTTATCCTTTAATCAGAATCATCAGGCAAAATGGGTGTATAAAATACAGATTTTTGAGAGACCTATTTTAGAGCACAAAAGACATGTTTTATCTTGATGAAGAAAAGTGTAACCAAGAATGGTGTAGTTTTGTTAATTTCATGTCTAGTCACTTTTTTTTTTTTATCTAAAAGCAGTTAATGAGTGGAAATTGTTTTGTTTTGTTAAAACTAAAATTTAAATACTGTGTAGCAATTTGTATTGCAATTGCACTTGGAAAAGTACCAACAAATTATCTATTTTAAATTATTTATTTTAAATACTAACATTTTTTTTTTTTTTTTTTTGGGGGGGGGGGGGGAGGGGAAGGAAATTGTTAATGAAGTGATTTAACTAATTTTCACATATTCAGGGTGACATAATTTTCTTTGTAATAAGTTTTTCTCTTTTTGTTTTTTATTCGTTCTAACTCATTTAGTAATATTTCTCTTTTACTTTTTGTATTTTTTCTTTGCAGAGGAAAGGAAAAAGCTAGTGCGTGAAGTTCTTAGAGAAACAGAGGATCTCCTTGTGATGGTATGAAAGTGAAATTTATAAGATTACAAGATTTATAAATATTACTATAATTGAGAAAATTCAATTGGGATTGGCATTTTGACAGAAATATAATGTCAGACAGACAGAATGGTATGTATTAATAGACTTGTGCATACTTCTCGGAAGATGCTTGTCTGACATAGCAACAACCATCAAAGTTAATCCCATCCATGTATATACATATATAGCTGGTGAATGAAATAGTTGGAGGTGGGTTCCTGTAAGAAACATGCAGGAATTGAAATACATAGTAAACTCCTCTATTGAATAGGTCTGTTTACTCATTCTGTGCATACTTTTTGAACAAAGGTTTCTCTTGATGACTGACTAGCTTGTCAGAGGATTGCCCTAATTAGCAACAACTATTAAATGTACATGCAAAGTGAATTTTATTCATAGACATGCTATTATGCAGACCAGGTGAATCAAATAGTTGTATCAAAGGGGTTTTGGAAAGAAGTATGCATCCATCAAAATAAATTTGTAAACAGGTCTATTCTACACAAATGGCTATGAATGCAAATTTATAAGACAAAGCTGCTGATACCAAGAGCTGGTCATGTTGTAACCCTGGCATCTCAAACAGGTGGCATTCCAAGAAGTTCTCTGCAGTAGTTCTAAGTTGAGGTTTTATTCACTAACAAGTTATGCATGCCAAAGGTTTAATACTCAAGAAAAGAATTGCTCAACTGTTTGAAATAGGTGAACCAGATATCTTGTTAGGTTATGAGGGACAATTTGAATGCATAATGATCTTAGTAGTCTTGGTGAGAAAATCTTTCCATTTGGTGTCTCACCAGTTGTGCCACTCTGAAATTATCATTCCTTCAAAATGGCAACCCTCATTTGAAGGATGTCAAGCAGAGTAAAGCGAAACTTTCAAGACAGTTTTCTCTTTACTATTAGACTAGGTAACCGAATAGAATGAATTTCAGGAAATGAAAGAAGTTTGAGAACAGGCTCACATTTTTACACCATTTGAATCATCTTTTAGACTGCTTTCTTGCTAGTGTATTTGTTGTTGCTCCATAGCTTTAGATTGTTGAATGCTTCAGTATGACAAAAAATAGCTACTGGTACAGTATCTGCAGGGTCTTGCAGACAGGAACTTTTCTAGGGTTATGGTCTAGTAAAAATGCTTATTTCCTATTTTATCATTGTCACCAGAACAGTTTTTCAGTTTACAATAGCTATTTTTGAGCTTTCCAGAGGTAATGTGCTTACCCTTGCAATGCCTCTTGTGCCCTGCTATGCTCTTCTTTTCACAGGTTAACATTATCTTGGCAATCAATGAAGTACATGTAGTGTGGATGATGTGGTTTAGATGAGCTAGTGTGCGCTTGTTAAAATGACGCCTGGCTAGAATCCTTCCCAGGGAGTGGAGAATGTGCATACATTGTGTGCGGGTATGCCTGAATCAGATGACAGGGGTAATATATCTGTAAGTGCGTAGACACATCGTTGATGTATTAAGTGCTATATAAAAGCCACTTATTATTATTATTATTATTATTACATGTAAACTGAATTTGTATTTGTTATGACAGGTTACAGGTCTTGAGAATGAAGCCTCACCAGCCCCAGGAAGCTTTAGAACTCAACTCATGGGTAAAGTGAGGTCATACAGGAGAGAGGTAGAAAGACTACAAAAAGATGCAGTAAGTCTGAAAACAATGAATAAGATTCATTTAGAGGAAGAAAGGCCTAACGTCTTTCTTTATTAAAAGAGCTTAAAGGAAACCTCACCCCAAAGGATAAGTGTAGGTATTCTGAAAAATGAGATGAATTCCTGCCCTTTGATGTATAATATTCCTTACAAAAATGTACAAGAGATATATAAATGAAGATTTTCCTGGCGTGATGTGATGCCTTTTAGCATGACATGGGCGCAGCCATTTTCTTAAAAATGTGACGTACCAGTTGAAGTTGTACATGTATCATGCACCAAGCTTTAGTTGGAAAGAATTGTTAAATCAATAACGAAACCTTTACTTTTCAATGAGGAAAAATCATAACTGAGAAGATAGAAATTATATTTAGTGAAAAATAAATAACAGGGGAACAATTGTAACTAAATTCATTCATAAATAATACACTATGGCAGTTGACAAATCTATTTAAATTATGAGAAAACTTTACCCTAGAAGAGCACCAACTTATTTATGCAATTTGCGTTCTTGCAATTGTAGTACAAAGGATAATAGCATGTGAATGAAATGCTTCATCACCACACACGTCTGGAAAGGAAGCATCCATAAATTTGAATAAATTAACTTGCTAAACGACTTCGCATAGTACGTCACGTAGTCATGAAAATGACGATGCCCATGTCTTGCTGAGAAACTGTACATTATTCTTGCTTGATACCTTAGATTAATGGGCAATAATATAATAAATCTCTCAGAATAAGTACAGTTATTTCTTGGTGTTCGGTTTCCTTTAATATTTGTTTTGGATATATTGTATTTATATTGATTTCCTGTAGATGCAATCATTCAGTTGCTTTAAAAATTCAAATATTAATTCATTCTTTGTAATAATTTGTTTAATTTAGTTGGGTTATCATTCCTACCGTGTAGGTAATTAAAACCTGAGAATTTTTTATCACATAAAAAATACAAGTTTGTAGATATTGATATATCCTAAAGGACATTATTTTTTTCTGCAGGTCTGAAAAAGACTTTTTGATATTTCCAGGTTGTTCATTTCCATGTCGAGAAACATACCCATTGTCTCTTTTGTCTTATCATTCCTGGTTCCTTTTTTGTCATCATGAAACGTAAAGCACTTTAAATTGTTAAATATTGTTTGTGTCACATAAACTATTGACAAGTTGTAATGAGCACTTTGTTTGTCCCTTTCTTTCCACCCCTTTTATAGGTTGTATATCATGTCATTTGTGAATGAGTGACTTTATTTCTACAGCATACAGCACAATTGATAAATAAAATAGGTGTTACATGTACGAATCATAACAAATAAAAGACGCAAATTGTACTGATCTAGGCTAATGCAGCACACAAAGTGGAGCTCGATGGTCCAATCCTAGCTCAGTTAGCTAAGGGGGCTGAACTGATCGCAAATATCTATGTGATTGTTTGCACTCATTTCCTGTTTAAAGCACTCAAATTTAAGATTACTTTAGTGGAATAAACTACTTCCAAAATAATATTGAAAATTTCTAGGGATTGAATTCTATAACACATGAAATTAGTAGCCATTTAGAGTCCTGGTGTGCACTTTTGAAAACTAATCAGCGTGTGTTGCCAAATTCTCCCTAGTGCTGAGTTGGTACTTTATGAATGTGTAATCTGTCTTTTCCTCTCTTATCACAGCATCGATTCGGCGGACAGACAAGTGGCAGAGATGAACTTCTATCAGGCGGGATGTACAGTGCCAAGTCAGATTTTGAGGTAAGTTACCATTTCTGTTTAGGACTTTTACATAAAGGCAAAGAAAAGATGTATTCATGGAATATTGTTGTATTGACTTAAAGGGATCCGGTAACTTTGTCTCAGATCCTTAAAACACATCCTTGATTTAGCCCATGCTGTAATGATAATTATAAACCTTTGGGTCATACATGAATCCCATGACTTTCACAAGTCAATCACCCGTCTGATTATCAAGATATTAGTGATTGAAAATCTAAATTTCAAAACCGTTCGCCTGACGGTTTTGAAAATGTAACGGTAGGCATACCTCCCTCTATCAGTGCAAGACGTTCAGCGTATTAGCTGAGGCGACCACCAAGCAGCGGCGGCAGCGGCGGCAGCGACTGGCGACAGAGTCGTCAGGCATTTGACGTGAGCAATATACTGGCCTGCCGCGCGCTCCGATGCGATCCAGCGTCCCGGACCTCCGGGCTGGGCGCCGCCCTAGCGCGCTAGGCATATGGGGCCCATGCTAGCTGCATTGATTTTAGTAGTTGAACGATCGACGTCTGCTACGCAACTGACATCATGCCGATGCCGATGAAAACTAATTCCGAGAAGAAGCGGGTGACGAAAGCAAGAAAGGAAAAATTTGAAAGGAATCATGGAAGGTTATACCTGAAGTTGGATTACTTTGAAAAGCTGCAAGAAATTGCACGGGAAGAAAGATTGACCGTCACTGAAGCGGCGGCTGTCGTGATCGACGCGTAAGTAAACTCGTAATATACTGCACTGCTCAGTCCCATGCCATTGACATTGATGTAGCATAGCCTGTGTAGGCTTGCAGTGTTTGTAATACCCACACACACGTTGTATTTTGTTTTAACTTTGGGGTTTTCACTACCTAGTATCTATATCTAGAATTGTCTTCAAAGGATCATCTGATACTAAATTTTTGTCGTAGACACTAGAGAAAACTTGACAACCTAGGCCCGGCCTATATACGTACCACGGCCCGGTGCGGTGTTGACATGTAGTCATGGTAGTAGTAGACTCTTCTAGGCCTAGTAGTAGTAGTAGTATGAGACTCTAGACCCCCTACTACTACTAGTACTATCCTGGCCTGGCTGTGTATTAAAACCCTTTTTTTAAAATTGATTCTCAACATTTCAAACTCCACTGTACAAAACTTAACTGATTTCACTCAAAGTCGGTAGGCCTACTTTTAGTTTAGACTTTAGTGTACTTGACAGTTGATGACGCATAAAACAGTAAGTAAGCAACACTTTTTTCAACTCAATAATTTAAAAATTAAAATTTTGAGTCTACTGTCAAAGTTACTTACAGCCGCATCGGCATGATTGTGTGCGTTTGTGTATTTTGATATGTTTCTTGTGCTTGTATTTATTTATTTTGTATTGTCTTTGTTAATTTGTTGTTGTATGTATTTGTGGCTGTGCCTCTTCCGTTGAGGAAGAATTATTTCTCTTCTTCTGTAAGAGGACATGCATGGAAATTCCCCATGTAACTTCTTTGATTTTCTTTCAGTTATTATTGATCTAAGATATAAACCAAAATTTGGATTAATTACTAAATCTAATATAATATAGTATAAACATATATGTTCATGTAGCTTATGGTTATGGTCTCTCCCCCGCCCCTCCCCCTCCCTTTCCTGCATGTATACATATCATTTAAAAATGAATTCATCTGTGTTTTTTCTGCAGATACTGCAAGAAGGATGTGGATACAGGAAGGTACATTTCTCTTTTTTACTATAAGTTTTACTATTTCTCTTTGGATATGCAATAAGGTATTGTCAATACCATAATTTATGACATATAAAATGAATGTAAGGAAATCATTTATATGAAACACTGAATGTAGTAGCTGGAAGTAGTTGTGTATAGACTGTTTATGGGGTATACAATGTTTTTTGTTTTCCTTTAACAAAAATTACACAATGCTGCTGTGGTGATAGTGACCTCATGTTTAGGGTTTTGGGGTCTGTTTAACCATTTTTCATTTCTTTTTTTAATGCGATATCCAGTTGGTTTCAACCATACTTGGATCAATTCTGTATAAGGGATTAGTTTTGGTCGCAATGGGTCATAAAAGAAGTGTCAGAAAGTTATCCCATTGGCTTGATACATGTAGCATTGGAACCATAGACAGTCATTTTTCACCATACTGATTAAATTTTCTTGAATGTCTTTCTTCACAAATTTTACTCAGATTAGAGCATAAATAATGGCTGGAGTATCTCACTGTTTACTACCTGTTAGATAGAAAGGTAGAGAGTAAACTGATTAATCGTTGAGGACATCCGGGTTTGTGGGGAAAAAAAGTAGGCCTAGTTGTATAAATCTTTTTCTAAATTATTCATGTTTTTTCATTAGACCTGTCAATGCTTCAACACCAATATCATCTGCTTATCCTGCCACCCCTGGAGTGAGAGTACCTATGTCCATTGAAAGGTAAGTTACACAAAGAACACATGTATCGATAATTGATTGATAATCAACCCCCCCCCCCCACTCGAATGCCCCCCCCCCAAAAAAAAAAAAAAAAAAAAAAAAAAAAAAATCCACATCCACATCTGTAAGAATGAAAAGTGGTTTGTTAAGAAATTAAATTAAAAGTAAAGTTATATTAACCGTTATATTATACATGTACAAGTGACACAGACTTTGACGTAGGTTGTGTTACCGGTACACTCTTAGAGGCAAAGTCAGGCCATATTCAACAATGATAGACATGATAGATACTGTATGCTACTAAATTTACTGGCAATAACTTTACATGATACCAACATTTCTCCCAATATTATTGTTCTCTGATTGTGGTTGCATTGACTATTATATATTTCTGATCAACTTATAAAAACTGTCAAATGTAATTCCTGTTGTTATATTTGTAGTTTCCTTTTCCCAATGTCAAAGATGTTCGTTTTATTTTTTGTGAATGTGTCACAAATCTTGATAAAAAAGTTTGTCCCTGAAATTATTGAAATGGTATGAAGAGTTATTTACGACTGGATTTGTTCTTGTATGGTTCTTTTTCAGTTTGCCCTTCTTCAACTCCCCTCTTGTTCCCAAGTGTGACGTCAGGTAAGATTTCTTGAAATACATGTAGTTAAAACAAATTTTTGCATTACCTTACAATTTATTACATTTTTGTCAATTTTGTAAGTAAAACTTGCAAAAAATGCCAGATTCACATATACATGTATGCAACATACATTTACTATACAATTTCTTATGAGAAATGATCAGTTCAAATTCTTTGCATTAAAATCATATTTCTTCAGGAAAATTCAGGACGATGGCAAACTCCAGGAGCATGGCAAACTCCAGGACCATGGCAAACTCCAGGACCATGATGTTGACAGATCCTCAGCTGGAGAATGGTGCGTTTTTTATATCTATAATGTAGACATTATTTTATATTGTAAAAGATATAAACCAAAATTTAATTTAATTTTAATTTTAGATTTTATAGTACTTCTTTCTTGGTACCATTACCCACGACCAGGTGTGGCCAATTGAAAATTGATCATTGTTTATTTATTTCATATAACCTTTCCTGAAAATTGTAATACATGTTTGCAATAGGGTAATTGCAAAATGGGGGAGGAGTGGGTTTGAGTATCATTCACAGGTTGTTACTTTTTGTTTTACATCCTTTTTTAACTGAACATTCATGTTTATTTTTCAGTTCTGCCATGTCAGGAGTGTCAGGAGTGGAGAAAATGTCAGACTCGGAAGCAAATGAACCCTCAGTGAGGTAAGGCACTATATGTTTATCTGTAACTATTAGTCATACATGTACAAATTAGAATACAATTTTGTTAAGCTTTTTTTTTGAGAATCATGTTCTAATGCAGGGGAGGGGGGTGTTGATGGTTGGTGGTGATCCTGATTATTTTTTAAATTGCCAATTTTCAGACAACCTTATCACATTATTAACCTTTTCGAGTAACTCTCACATCGTCCAGGTCCATGATCCTCCCCACCCAACGTCCCACTCTAAAGCGCTCAGACTTTTTGTGTTGGTATGAGAGGTTTAAATATATTGATTTTTTTTGATACACAGCAAAAGTGAGAAAACTCATGCATTTGTTACCTATGGTACATTTTACTTCTTGGGTAATCTCTAATTTGTATACTTATTGTAATGGCTTATTTTTTATTTTCTTATTGCAGCGTAACTCAACAGCTACAAGGGGCATCCTCGATTGAAGATGATGAATTCAAGTGAGAAACTGTTCAACCATTTATCAATCTGATTACTGGGAGGGTTTGTTGTTTTTATAATATAGCTAATGGCTTTTTGTTTATACTGTTTTATGTATTGGAGAAAATGTGTGTTTATTCTTACACAATTGTAGATTTGTGACATGTACACATACATGTATTTACTTAATCATGGTCATGCTAACTATATCATGATGACTTGAGTGATGGTAATTGAATGAAGTAACAGGAGACATTACACAACATTGCAATTGCTGACTTTATTTTAATACATTATGTTACATGCCTGTACTATGTACATTCCTTTATGACCTTTACAAGCAATCTCAATTCTTTGAGCATTTGCCTATCCCTAGGAACGATTGGTAGTATGTGTCATTAGTTAGAACATGCACATTGCTGTACACATTTTCATTGAGGATATATATTTTTTTTAAACAGTATCAGTGTGGATATTGTTGAAAAGGGGGACTATGTCTACCCTCAAGAAAAGACGGTTTGTGAAGAGGAGGATAACTGGCACCCATATCATAACCACAACAAGTAAGTGTGAAATGAAATGTATTAAATGATGATATATTAGAATGTTGCATGGATTAGGGAAGGATTACCAATGGCTTATCTGAAACATAAAATCTATGTGTTAATGCAAATGCATTGTCTAATGCTGTCAAGGTTTATTGATGTCACATGTATGTTAGTGCAAAGACCCTCATTTTTGTATGTCTCTGCCACCTGAAGTGGTGCCAGAGGCAATATGTTTTAGATTTATTTGTACGTCATTTGATTCTGGCTTTCTGACGTGTATTTCCTGTTGTAATTTATGTTTTAATTTCATGTAGATCTCTGTGCAAGGGCCTCAAAGAAATTTTGGTGGATGAGGAGGTGTTTGGCGAGGACGAGGAGGGAGAGGAGAGAGAGGAGATGGAGGTCAGCAGCTCAGGACTCCATCACAAGATTACCTCGCCAGATACTGCGGCAAAAACCAAGCTCTACATTGTAACCGGTAGCATGCTGCAGCATCTGGCGAGGCTGGCCTATCCAAAATGCACGACGTGCCACCTGAAGCACTCGGTATGTGTTACTGAAAGTGGCACCTCTGCACACATTGTCTGGGTAATTATGTGTTATTGTTCATTCAATGCATCAATTGATGATTATCAGTGTAAAGCTGTTAAATGATTTTTTTTTTGTATTCATTATTATCCCTTTCAGTGTCATGAGCTATTTCATTTTTTTTTATATTTCAGTTCTTATATTCATTCAGAAATATTGTTATGAGTACATCAGTCATGACATTACAAATAGCAATTGAATTACAAACACTAAATTTTACAGAAGCACTAATGTTTGAAATTACTTATGCCTGTTTTCTTTCCCCTAATGATATAAGGGTAGTGTAACTAAAAATGGGGTTGTCGGTTTAGGTTTTTTTTTCTATACTGCAATTCAATAAATTCTTCTTCTTCCCCCCCCCCCCCCCCCCCCCCCCCCCCCCCCCTCTATTGCAGACCTGTGAAGGAGGGCACATAGTTCGAGTCTGCATGCAGGAAACACATAATGGCTCTCATGTTGGCGACATGAAATTGGCTTCGTCAATTCTCCTGTCTGGAAATAATTTCCTAAAGGTGAAGCGGCTAGCTGATTTCATGAATCTCCACATGTTTTCTTCCAGGTTGTTTAATGCTGTTCAGAACAACTATGTGTGCCCCGTCATTGAACAACATTTCGCTAAAATGATGACTGACAACAGGGACAGGCACCGTGAGCAGGAGATTGTTGTATGTGGTAAGTGGCAAATGGCCTGGGAATTGCAACAATAGGACAACACATTTTGAGATCACATGATAATCCATAATTGCATGTCATGGCAAAATCAAATGAAATGAAATAAAATATTTTGTGTGCATCTGTTTACAACACTTCACCATTCCCCAACATTCTGAATGACTGTCAATTCAGTCTATCAGGCTTTAGGCTAGATCCTGAATATGTCTAATTCTATTGAAATATATTTTTTGGACACTTCAAAGTAATAGTTGAATGAAAAAGTAGATGAGTGTTAATGTAAATGAAATTTCAAAATTACTAATAATCTTTTATCTTCCACAATCCTTCTGTCTCTCAGGTGATGCTCGTAATGACTCACCAGGCTTCAATGCCCAATACTGCACCTATACCTTGATGGACCACAAATCAAAAGGTTTGTATTTGTGTGTGTGTGTGTATGTGTGGGCTTGCTGACTGAATTATATTTATAAGCAAATTTGCTTCTTTGTGGTCCTGATCATATATTTGCTTAGTATTTTGAATGTTTTATGTAATCTATTTTCTATTGTATGTTTTCCTTCTACATGTGTACATATTGTTAATGAAAATTCAATTCCATTCTCTTCAAGATATTGTTGCAGCGGAATTCCTCGACAAGCGTGAGGTCGGGGATAAAAGTGGCGCCATGGAGCCAGCTGCCCTACTCAATGCCCTCAACGCTCTGAAGAGCAACAAAATTAAGGTGGCAGAGTTGGTGACGGACGCCCACCCCACCATCTCATGCATCCTCAGTAAGTATATATTTCTTAGTTTAGGGATTTTTGGAGACAGTGTATTTTCATTCATCTGACCATGGAATGTGTTTACATGTTATTTCTTATTCAATTCCTTAAACTTGAATTTTTATAAAATGTTTTAATGGTTCTAGATGCTTTTAAATTTCCCATAACTGTAACTGCAATATAGTGAATGTATTGCTTGTCACAAGTCTTTAATTTTGGTTTTCGTTGTACTTTACAGAGAGAGACTACCCAGAGGTGATCCACAGCTGGGATGTGTGGCACGGGGCCAAGAACCTCGGGAAAAAAATTTCAAAGGTGAGATAAACTGAGCATAAATTGCTCTATTTTATTAATAATAATATGAATGCCATCAATGGCGCTCTAGCATTTAAAAGGATTTGTTCCTGCCAGGTGCCTATGAACCTCACCTGGGTTGAGTGTGGCAAATGTAGATTAATGTCTTGCCAAAGGATATTAGTGGCATGGCGGCTCTCAAACCTTGATCCATGCAAACCATGACACCTCTAGGTGAATTAATTGCATGTTCGCACTCTGTGATATGGACCTTATGACGTTACAAAAAATCATGTGAATTCCACAGCTATTCCTTGAAAGCTAATGATTTAGGGCACTGTCAAGAAGTTGTATTTTTTTTGGCAGACTAAATTTCTCTTTAAAATTTATTTTTTAGACTGATTTGTCAATAAGCGTTCATTTGATATTTATGTCCTCATGCAGGCATCAACGCTTGCAGCCAATAGACGCTTGAGGTTTTGGACCAAGCATGTGGTGAACCACTTCTGGTGGTGTGCTGAAACATGTAAAGGAGATGACGGTGTGTTCTTGGTGAGTGCTATCTGGCGGCTATGGTACATTTACCTTTTACCAAACATATATTTGTCATCCTCTTACTTGAAAATTCTGTGGTATTACAAAAATACAATACTTTTTGTTTTCAATAGGTATCTGCTTGGGGAATGTATTTTAAAAACTGACTTTAGAAAAAAGTGCTTTTTATCATGCCAGCTCAGGAATCTTTGGAAATGAATTCACAGTGAGACAAAATTTTGATCTTCCTAGTGTTTAGATTATTTTTTTAATGTAAATGCAACTTTGAAGGGCAGCAAATGCAACATATTTTGAAAGTAAAATATGTTTGTTAAACCTGACTGCTAAGAAAGCATTGTATGCTTGGAACCAGGGGACTAACTGTTTCAAGTCCTCTCCGAGTGACTTTGTAATGAGGATTAAGGCCTTACCAAAGGGCACTAGCGCATCAACTCTGTTTCGACCCAGGGACCTCCCGGTTATTAAACCACTGCTCTACCACTAAGCCATGGACATTTACATTAGAATTATAAAAGAACTCATGAGCTGGGTCAATGAGATGATCATTATGGATTTTAGCAATCTTTTGATTGAGTGCTCAATTCATTCTTTCATTGTTATTGTATTATTATAGGTCTTTATTCTCTCTTTTGTACAGAACAAGTGGCGTGGGCTGGTGCATCACGTGACCAATGTACATGATTGGTCTATTACAGGGGGCTTAGGTGGCGTCCCTCACTGTGAGCATGGTCCATTGGAAGAGAGGGAGGAGTGGCTGGTTTCCGGAACCAAAGCGCATGATGCCCTTGGCAAAATTGTTCTTGACAAGAGGTTGCTGAACACCCTTGTGAAGTTTGTCAATTTCCGGTAATTAATGGATTATTTAAGCATACATGTGGTGTATCCAAAAATGATGTCATAGTTTTTCAAAGAAAAACCATTACACAAAATATTCAATTATACCTTTGCCTACAGATGGTGGTCCTAGAGACATTACGTTTTCGGGTTGTGTGGCCATCTGTCTGTTCCAATTTCTTGTTGTTGGTAAACTCTTTACCCAAACATGTTAATTTACATTGTAAATCAATGAATGTAATTATTAACCTCAAGTAAATTCTTGTCAGCTTCTATTTTATTCAGGACAATTCTCCAATAGTAGTCACCATTGCTTCAAAAATATATCTGTGCATGCGCAAGACCCAAATACATTGTGAATAACTTAATTCAGTGGTTCCATTGTTTTGTCTTATTACAATGAGACACGTTGAACCTCTTGATTTCTCTATGTCGGAAAAAAATAATTGTTACAATATTTGGAATATCTAATCGTTTTCACCCCAGACACACTGGTGAACTGGAATCATTGCACAGTCACATCCTGATGTACTGCAGCAAGAGGTTTTCATTTGGGTAAGTTTCTTTTGGCTTTTTTTAGTCTCTTTGCATTGTCTCACTTTCCCTGTTTGTATATTTCATATCATGGCACAATGGTGAAACTCTTTCATATTCCAGTGGGCTTAAAAGTAATAGACTTCGACATCTAAAAGTTTCATTATTAGATTTGAAATTTTGATGTGTAAAATAGATGTTGAGAACTTTGTCAATAAGTTGAGTATAATAAATGTTAAACGATACATTATAACATGGGGTTTTTTCTAGGGAAATTATCTTGTGAAATTAAACCTTAATCAAATTAAATTTGTATAAGGAATGGCTGGTATTTTTTTCTTCTCCCCTTTGTGTAGATACCGGGCTTACCGAGCCAGGAACATGCTAGCCATGCTAGATTACAACCTGCATAAGGACAGGCCAATGGCTCTCGATTCAGAGGGAAATCCAAAGTAAGTGTGTTTTGGAATAGAGTGATACCGACTCTATTTGGGACTTTTATAAGATGTTGTCATCAAATTAAATTATCTGTGTTGATAAATTTATGGCTGATGTGGCCGATTATGTTGTATCGACAATCGGCCACATAATCAGAATATTTCATTTGGAAGAAGAAGCTACTGCTGGGAGGCTACTGCTGCAAATTCAGTGATGATATAGAACCATAATGTAGAAACACCTTACGGCTAAAAAAAAGTATTACATACATAAACATTTGTATGTGGAATTTGTACACATACTGTCTTCATTTGCTTGGAATTGACAGTTTTCATAAATAAGACGACATTATCAGGATCGTTGGTGTCATGTTTTCCTGCTAAAATGTTGATTTGTCAACAAAGGTTTGTCAGTGACATCAATATTGTAAACCACTGAGTAACTGGTAAGCGTGTTTGCAGTAAGCCGTCACAAATGTCAATCTCACTGGTACTTGTAATATCTCAGTTTGAAGATAATTCATTCAAAGCAATACTCATGTAGATACAAACGATATCTGTGTATTGAGGAAGAAGTAGTTCTAAGTCATTTTAACATTTATGAAGTAAAGAAGAGATTAGATGTGTTGCTCTTCACTACTGCAATAAATGTGTTTGTTTAACTTTACTACTACGAAAATCCAATACATGTACATTTATATCAAAAACAAAAAAAGAAAAAAAGAATTTTGTTTTGCTACTTTTTATTCTTATGTTCATGTATTTTAAAACTCAATGGTATCATGTTAGGATTGACAAGATATCCTTCTACATAGTTATTGAACATAAATAAGCGTACCGGTAGAGGAAAGGACATGAAAATTGGCATGATCCATGGAATGATAAAACTAGTGACTTAATATTTACAAGTAAGTAGTTAAATGTGAGATCTGCAGACCTCCCCACCCCTTCCTTCCCCACCAAATAATAGAAATGCCCTTAATCTTGCTCAAAGGTATACCATGTCTATAAAATATCTTATAAAGTACACTTTCTCAACACCGTATGATGGTGCATTGTATAAATCTTTACCAAATATTTAAACTTTGTAAAGCCAAGAGGAAGTGTGTGTATCCACATTTTATGGTGTGAAACTTATGTAACATTTTAGAAAATGTTTAATTATCATAGATACTTGCACCTCATGGCAATAATTTTGAATTGGCTTGCAAATTTACTTGGTCAACATATCCACTTGACTTGAGGGGAAAATGCATATTGACTAAGAAACTGGCAGATCCTTAGTACATCATACATATAGGTTGTGAACTGCACTAAAACAGCCTACTATATACTCCAGTATGTAACTAAGTTTTTAATAAATGCAATTGCATTTGTGCTATGCATGTTTTTTTCTTTTTTTAACAAAATTATTTATATTTTTTCCCTTGGATTTCTTTTAGATGTCGTTCTAGATGGTCTAAGCACTCAGCAAGCTGGGTGGTGCATGATGTGCGAGTTGGAAAGACGTACACGTATATCCCCATGATGATGGAAGAGATAATGCGTTGCCGCTTGACCGACTCCCGACCGCTCTTTCGTCCAGCAGACCCACTTCCCAGTGACCCAAGACTTATCCGCCCCAGACTTGCCCCTGTACCTCCACCACCGATGGAGGAACTTAAGAAAAAAAGAAAGAGTCGTTTCTCCACATAGCCATCTCCTGGAGGAAGAAGTAGAGAGCCAAGTAACAGTCCATGTATTTGTACCAATCAGTATATCGATTTCATTACAGTGTTAGATTGTGTGCCGTTATGCGGCATGACTAGTAAGATGTTGACATCTTTATCAGAGCTTGCATGGAAGTGTAAATATCAGTAGATATAGTACTGAAATATAAGATTAGGGGAGAGCGGGGAGTGTTAGCCCTATTTTTGATATCACTCTTCTAGAGCCATCATTTCATACGCAGGAAGACCAGGCTTTTTCTTGTATCAAGTCATAGGTAATGTCTAGCTAATATCCCACTCTCACTGGGGTCAGGCACACAGTTTTCACAAAAACAAATCATAAAGTTAATTACGACAAAAGGGCGAAATTGCTTCACCCTGGGGCTGGTTCGTCCATTTAGCGGGGTACATGTAGGTAGGCAAAATAAATACATGAAACAAATATAGTGTTTTAAAACTTCAAAACATTTATTTAAAAGGTACTAGAGCCAACGAAGGATGGTAACAAATAAGTTGAAACAAGGTGTCCTGGGTGTAGAATAGATGTTGATAACACGAGGCGGACTCTGAAAAAGGAAAACACAAGTAATGTCAAAATAAATAAATATAATAAGTCATAGAATCAGATCAAGTTGGATAAACACAGTCGTCACTAAACTTTACTGAAGTTGCCAGGTAAGGGCCTGTATTTTCACTTTCAATAAAATCTAATAATTTTGAAGAGGCCCAAAGGTAGGAATAACCACATTGAATGGGGTAAGTTTGCCCCCGGGTGAACATGACCCGTCAAAAACGGGCGAACTAGCCCCATGGGGCTGTTATCGTCGTTTATCTCGTTTTAGGCAAAATGTACAACCGATGTTGACTTGTTCCAACATTTTGTAATAGACACACACCAGTATACCTTTTTAAAAAACAAAAACTACCATCACCACCTCCATCAATGTCTACAGGTAAATACAAGAAATGTAAAGACAATTTTTTTTTACTTAAGTGGCCTTAAAATGGAAATTTTAGCATAATTTTGTTTATCAAAAAGCCATCGTCCTCATGCTGTTGTATGTTGTGCGGTGTGGGTAGTTTGTCATTACATCACCGGCGAAAGTTTTATCCAATCACCGCAAGGCTGAGAATCGAGGGGTGGGCGGACTTGCCCCCAGGGCGGACTAGGCCCGCTCTCCCCTACTGAAGTTATCCTAATAAATTGAATTGATTACATCTTTTCAATAACAGGCTTATTTGGATCATCAAAACTCTGGAATAGTTCAGATAACAACTTTTTTAAATTTGATGTTGGGTACTTACATAAATCGGCTGCTTCAAACCCTTTGTAGTGGTTGTTTGGGTCAGGGTACTCATCCCTCGTTCGGCAGACCACACAGCTAGGCACGACTACTCTGTTCCCAAATCCAAGTCTTCCGTGCTGCCATAGCACGAAGGTGCGATAAACCTGGTACCTATACCTGTTGTGTTCCGCTCCGGGTTCCTGGTCATTGCCCTCTCGATTTCGGAGGTTTCTCCAAAGCCGTCTTTGTAGCCCATTCATGAACGGGTCCATCATTGACAAAACATACTGAATGCAGAAACAAGTAAAAAGAAAGGGAGGGGGTGTCACATTTCAGGTTCTTTACTGTTGAGTGTTACAGTATGTATCTTTCACACAGTTTGTTGAATTGTATATCTCTTGCTGACATGTACATGCAAGGTGTTACAGGTGGATTGTCAAATTTATTATGCTTGGCTAGTGAACTTTTTATGTTTATTTGTCCACTGCACAAGCATATAATAAAAACAAAAGAAGTTGTTAGAACCATGCCACTCTATATACCATGTTATGTCAGTATTTTAATCAACATGTTGTAGCTTTCTTCGTGGAGATGTAGCTGTTCTGAATACATTTCCATTGTTCCATAAGATGTTGATGTGGTTAAACACTGTACATAATTAGCAATGTTATGTAAGATCAGATTATTGTAGACATTATTGGGAATGCTCATCACTAATGAGGTGTTTGAAGATTAAGATATTTTCCAGACATGAGTAAACAACTCAAAAGAAAAATGGATATTCGAAACAAAATTGATGTGTAGAAAAAAAAATTCTATCCAAACAGTTTAATTTAAGCCAATTTTTTTTTCTTCTTGTGATCCACTTCTTCTATGACCTTTGAGGCGTGTGTATCAATATAACTACTGTGCTGGAGATGAGGAGCTAACACTCATTTCTGAAGTTTATGGTTCATGTGTATTGAGTTCCATCAATTGACGTAAACATTAACTTGTATTTATTCCAAAATGTAATGTTGCTTATTTTAACTGTTCTCGTGACGAAGTTTGGTCCTTGGGTGACAATTTTCAAAACTGTTTTTAAGTTGAAAGACAGTGAAGTTGAAGATGAAGATGAATTCTGGCCATGTGATTACTAGGTAAGGGATTGTGCCTTGATAATGTATTACAGAGAATCAGTGTATACTTCAACGTTTTGAAATCATTACAATAAGAATTTGACTAGTGAGGTAATCCCCATCGGGATAACCTGGTTACTGTATGCAATGGGTTAATCTTGCACAAAGTCATTTACTATGTACTGAGTTTGTAGGACTACTCACACATTGGGCATGACATTTTGAATCCAAACTGCTCAACTATTTCTCATCACATTTGGAATATGAGAGAATTTCTTTGGTTAATCTTGCACATTGATATTACAATAATGAGGACCTAATGACCTATTTTTTCCACATTCACTGTTTAAAAAAAATCTGTTTCTTTAAAACGATTTTGTTAAACACTTACCTGTGACCGAGACAGGCAGTTTTGAGGTGTTAGGCCGCAACAAAGGGCTTCAACGTCCCTTATCATGGGCCTACAATTCCCACACACACACCAACCTGGTTCGGTGCAAGGACGGAGAGCGGCTACTGGTGGGCAGTTTAAAAGGTCTAACAGCAGACCACTCTCCCTCTCCACCACACCCAGTAGAACATCTCTGCATCTAGTGACGTTCAACTCATTTATGATATTCTGAAATGAAGAAAATTAAATGATCCATCCTATGAGGAATAGAATTGTTTCATGTTTCTATCTTTAACATTAAATCACATATTTCATAGTGAGGTTGTGCCTGATGCAGTTGTGTTGGTGTCTCTGTGTCATATTTGGAACTTCAAGTTTGACACATTTTGCGTTCAGTAATTAAAAAATGTATATAAATAGATGCATCCATGACATGCATTGTTATTTGTGTGTGAGTGACTGGGTGTAGATGTCATTTTTGTGAGTATTTCGGGTTCATGTATTTAGAAAAAATTAAGAGCCTAAAGTTATCCCCCCCCCCTTATTATTTTTCAATAGGTTGGGGGAAATAAATTTATGGCACACATAACAAATTTCGACTCTACCCCCTGCCTTCCATTCAAAAGAAAAAAAATCTAATGTAAACATTTTAAAAGAAAATCATACCCGCAGCTCAGCTCGTCTTTCCTCTCTCCTCTCTGCCACATGCGCTGGAACGTTGCAGCCTAGGAATCCTCCTTTGGTGAATTTCTTGACTTTCTTGACTTTCTTGACTTTCTTGACTTTCTTGACTTTCTTGACTTTTCCTCCAGTCTTTGCTTTTGCTTTTGCTTTTCCCTTTGCTTTTGCTTTTGCTTTTGCTTTTGCTTTTCCTTTTCCTTTTCCTTTTCCTAGTTTTTGTTTCTTCGCCTCTCCTCCTGTATCTCCAACCTTTCGTCTTCTCTTCTTTGTTCTTGGTGGTTGTAGACCAGACGGTCCTGGGATATCTTCTTCGACCTGTTGATCAAAAAGAGATGCCATGCTAACAAATAATTCACACAGTATACAACGTCATGTGCAAATTTTTAAGGCACAGTAAAATCATCTCTCCCTGTACTCGGGGGCTATACATGTACCCCTTGCCCCCGCCTGATATGTAAGGTCTTTCTAGAGTATACAATCATGGCGACCCAGATTTATAAAGAGCGCGTCAATTTAGTAGCATGCTTTACAGATGATGTTGATCTTGTTGTTTTGTGTTGTTTCATGTCCCCCGCCCCCTGGAAAATAGTACACGAATACAACCAAGGCCCAGTTCCCCTTCAAATACAAATCCAATTAATATGAAGGTTGAACACATGCATCATACCATCTGCACCTCGTCAGGTGACTCCTCATTATCTCCATGTCCCTCCTCATTATCTCCATGTCCAGTTTCTTCAACCTGTTTATGGAAAGAAAGTGAAAAATAGTCGCTATATTAATTGAACAGCCGATAATGATAGAATTGTTGGAATACCCCCCCCCCCCAATAACATGGAGGGCGGGGGGGGGGGGGGGGATTGCAATGTGTTCCCTAAAGGCGATAGTTTTCTTCCCAGGAAAAGAGCAGGCCTTCCTTGGCATGCTGATTTAGAGAGAGGTGGATTGAGGCAGGGGCGGACCCAGCCGGCGGCAGGGAAGGGAAAAAATAATTATATAAAAAAAAAAGAATATGCGGGGGGGGGGGGGGGGGGGTTGTAGCGAACACTAACTTTTTTTCGGCCCCACCCCCCTGAATCCACCACTGGATTAAGGACACCCCTTACCCTTACCCTGCGATTTTAATACAACCTGAGACGACAACAATGTAGGGTTGCATTATGCATTTCACCACATCTACAGAGAGAAAAAATAACACATGTAATGCAAGAACATAATATGACATATTTTCATTGGCCACACGTACAAATCAGTCAGGGAACTCTACATTTTATAGTATTCTCTTTTTCCTAATTTCGTTCATGAATGCAGTGCGATCCGTAGGGGGTTGCAACCCCCTCCCTGGATGAAAACCCGGACATATTTGTTTTTTATTTGATTTTGATTTATTAAAAACTATGGTTTTAGCTTGCCTCTAATTTTTTAAACCTTTATTGTACACGATTATATGCATCTTGAATGAAATGTAACAGTAATGGTTGGCCCAGTTATTGCATATCTTTTTAATTTGTAACTGAAAATAAGAGGATATCGATCTTGAAGATATAGACCCTGTAGTTTGTGTCACCTGCCTGGAGATCTTCCTTGATTTCTTCTAACGGTTAGCACAATCTCTTCTTTTTTTTAAATTATGAGCGAGGACAAAAACAGTCTTTACGATCCTGTTATTGTAATCTCTTCTTTTTTTCTTCCTACCCTAACAGCCCATCTAGTCCAGATATAAACTAAAATAGAATAAAATAGTTTTCATGAAACAAAGAGGCTCTAGAACCCCCCCCCCCCCCCCCACTCAGTGTTATTTAGGGAACGCTTATAAATGCATGTTCCCTCCTTTGAAAACACCCCCTAAGTCCGGTGTCTAAAACGTGCTTTTGTGTACTACGAGCCGGACTTCGGTGCGTGAAAAGTACCCCTTTACCGGACATTTTGGTAACACGCATGGTATCCCTCCGATCACGGAGATGGGGGGGGGGGGGGGGGGGCTCTATAGATCTCTGTAAGGTACCATACTCGATTTCCAAATATGCATCGCATATAATTATATATATCCAAGTAGAGCTTACTTTCATCTCAAATTTGTTTCTACATTTCAGTAACTCCGGGGAAATAACCATTAAATTTGCTACTTTTATTTTTTTAATTCAAAGACGTATGTACTCTAACCAGTTTTACACAATTAATTTGGAATTCATTGATTCACTTCTTAGGACCTCTATTTTCGCCGTGCCCAAACGTGCACATCGACGGCAGGCAAAGGTTCATGTAAACGAATTAATTGTAAGCAAAAGATTGCAATGAATGTAAACAATCCCCCTTGCCAAATGCGGGCTTGCAGGGGGAAGAGCACACCCGTTTCAAGTACCTCCCAAACGTGCTCCCTTTTCTTTCTAATAAAATGCCCCTCTTCCTTTATTACAAGTGCAAATTCCCCTTTCTTATAAATGATCCCTTTTCATCTCGGAATTGCCCCCATCCAAAGTTCTTCAAAGTGTACTTTTCCATTCTAAGAAGGGCACTCATTAGAGAAGATAATAAATGGTCGAGGTCCTATTCCCGTCATATGTTATTTCATTTCAACCCCCAGCTCCTCGATCATCAGCAAGTGAATCGCAAAGTAGGCATAAAGTACAGTCTCAGATTCCTAATGACAGAGATGATCGTGATTCGACTATATTACTTTTTTAAATTTTCTCCGAGTCCGATATCTCTCTCTCTTGCACTTGTACGCTCTCTACATCTTTTACTTGATTTTATTTTGTTTACCTCTTTTTTCTATTACAATTACATCCTTTTCATTCATTTATTAGTTTTCATGAATGTATATTGAGTCCCCCACCCCCCCACACACACACACAAAACAAAGTATTTGCAGTACATAGAAGTCAGATCAAATACACTATATTGTGCTTACCGACAATACTCCTGTGTCTTCTGGGGTGTCATCTGGGGTGTCTTCTGGGGCATCTGGAGACGGCACCTCCCACGTGCCCTCGTACTCGTAGTACCGCTGAAAACCATCTTCACTATCGGAACTTGAAGCCATCGTTTTCCACTTTCGTTTTAGATGTGAGAATCAGATTCTAATCAGCAGGATATACGACCCACGTTTGATGAATATTATCTATTTTTATGCCGATCTAATGAACTTTATGGGGGACTCCGTTGCTTTACTGCGAATTTTCTAGACGTGAATAGTGCGAAGAAAAAAGAATTCTATCTCATCTATCCGAGCCGTTACGTAATCTCTAAGCATACACGAGGGCGCCCAAATAAACAGGAAGGTCATGGTTAAACTTTCCTTTTTATTGGCCCCTGCATGGCTGATGTTTAATATGTGACAAAATGGAAGGAAAATGTATAATAAAGATATAGATATATATAAGAAGGAAAGATTGCCCTGTAATAATGATAGCGTATATGTGGTGATGTGATATGTGACTCAAAAAAAATATATAAATATTTTTCATGCTTTTACATTACATACTACCAGCTACAAATACAATAGAAATAAGGGTTTGTAGAGGCATATATTATTTCCAACAACGTAATACATGTAGCTGTATGGTATCAGGTAATATGGGCAAGGGTTCGGATATATTGAGCCCCTACAACTGGCCTGATGCCTACCACCTCAAACGGCAGATCTGATCGAAAATTGGACAGAGAGGGAGAGAGAGAGAAAGAAGGGGAGCTATATATGAGGCAAAGTGACTGTTTCAGCGGTAAATGAAAAATTCCAATCTACATGAACTCAACCAAACCCGTACACAAACCCACAGTACGGACACACACCCGCTATTCGCACAACAGCTCTACCTCCAAGGACACTTACACACACACTCCAAAAAAAAAAAACACAACCCAAAATCAGTTCGGCGCATTCTCCAGGCTAACAAACTGATGCCCACCTCCCCCCCCCCCCTCCCCTCCCTTTTCTTGGCCTCTCTCTCTCTCTCTGCACTTTCATAAGTTGTTGGGTCACGATAAAAAGAACGCGGGATTGCCGTTTGGTCTACACCCTGCCCGTCTACTATCTACATGGTCTAATAATCATCCCATCTACTTATCATTTTGGTCTAATTTCAATATGGTCTAATCTTCTATTAGATACCTATTTGGTCTGTTCATTTAGTATATAATCCACAAGGTCTCATAATCATTTGACGATTATTATTATTACTATTTGTTTATTAGAACATAATGGATAGTGGACAAAAGGGCATCAAACGAAATGGGTATTAGAATTATTGGAGATCAGACCAAACGATAATTAGTCAAAATGATTAATAGTCCATCTCGATAGCAGACGTACTGGTAGTAGACAAAACTGCAATACACCTAAACAAATGAATGGAATATCTCAACTCTTATGGGGTTTGTGAATCCTCTCAGCGAGTTGACTTTTCATCCTTTTCCCCCTGCACACTCTTTCCATTTCTTCCAATCTCTTGATTTGTTTCTGCATACTCTCCTGGCTTCCTCTCTCTCTCTTTCCTCTCCCTTCGACTCATTCCTCCTCCACTGGTTCGAGTACCCAAAGCTCTTCTTCTCTCTCCTCCCTCATTTTTTTTCACCCCACCTCTTTCCCAATAGGCTCGATTTCCTCACCCCCCCCCCCCTCACTCTCTCTCGCACACACAAATAGCTTGGT